GAATCATATTGAATGGACATAAACACTGCAACAGTAATGACAGCAAAAAAATATCAAATTTTATTTACTTTGGTTTTTTTTAAAAAAAGTCAAATAGTTTTTCTTTCAAGTAACGAGAAAAAAAATTATATAATCTCTTTGCCATTATATCCATTGAATATAATAGTGAATGTATCCACCACCACCACCATTATCAATGAATCGAAAAAAAGTGAATCCTGTTATAGCCACTTGGTTGATTCAATTGACTTTGGTTTCGTTAGTTTTTTGTTTGTTATTTGTGAATATCGAATGGTTTTTTTCTTCTATTTCTAGTCCGGCAAAGTATTCGTGGATGAGAGTGAAAAAAAATATTTACCAAAGTTTAAATTTTATTTATTTTATACTTTGAGTGAATCTCTCTCTTTTTTTCTGGTTTAACGAGAAAACTAAATGATGAAAACTGAAAGTTTGAGTTTTTGAGTTCCAGTGTAGTAAAAGAAAAAAAGAAAGAAAAACAAACATTATTTCTATCACAATATCTATGTGGGATAATATAAAAAAAATATTTACACACGAAAAACATTGATATGGAATGGATTTCAATCTAATTGAATTCTCAATAAATAAATAGATAGATAGATGGATTGGAAAGAATATATCCGAAGAAAAACCAAAGTGAAATGATGAAGTAAACATCATCATGAATTTGGCTTTTTTTTCATTTCTTTTGTCTAAGCTGTTTTCGTTTACCGAAGCGAAAAGAAGAATGAAAATCGAATAAAATCAATCCGATTCTTTGTCTTTTTTTCTCGTATTGAAAAAAATGATGAAATGAAAGTGGAAAAAGAAAATTCCACACATTGATATTATCTATTGAACACAAGCCATTAAAAAGGCAGATAGAAGGACCGAACTACCACATAGTTTGATGAATTTTTTTTGTTCATTTCATTTCAGCGACATGAAAAAAGCTAGAATATGGAATTGATGAATGAACCTGCTAAATGGAATGTTGAAACGTGAAACGTAGAGAAAAAACGCCAAAGAATCCACATGAATCATCAATAATATTGAATGCTTTTTTGGTTTCAATATTTTTTCATTTTCATTTTCCACCTTTTCAAAAACCAATGAACAAACCACCGAAAAAAAAACCAAAACTGTGAGCCCTTCTCATCAAAATGTTTTTTTTTGTTGTTGTTTGTGTTGTGCAGGTATGGTTAAACAACGTCAAATGTGAACAAAAAATTGTTGGAAAAAAAGTGAAGAAAAATGAAAACCTTTAACTAACGATAAATGAAATTAAATTATTCAATATGGGAAAATGAAAAATTTTGGTTAATACCTTTAACAACCAGAATATGAAATGAATGTAGAAAAAAATTACATTCACACATTTCATCGGATGACAAATTATTGACGATTACAATGACGATCAAAAAAAAAACGTTAGAAAAATAATGGAAAACATGTTCATCGCAAAGACATGCAACGACAAAAAAAGGTCAAAGTTTCCTACTGTTGGGCTGTTGTCGATTGAGAACAGCTTGAAATTTGGAATTCAGATGATGATAATGATTTGAGAGGAAAAAAAATGAAAAAACAAGTAACATGTCTGCGTGTGTGTGTATCTTTTGACAAGTAAAAGATGATGACAATGATGAAATATGGAATATTTTCCCCATATTTATTCTAATGTACCGCCTGTAAGACGGATGTTTCTTTCCCTCCCCCATACTATTCTCAAATTCATTAATTCGTTCATTGCGTAGTTGTCGAAAAAAAGTTTTCATAAAAGCAAAACTAAACCAAAATAATAAAAAGACAGACAAGATGATGAAAGGAAATTAGGAATTTTTTTTTGAAATATATGAAAATATGATATGAAAAAAAAGTGATGTGATAAGGGTAGAAATAGTCACATACATACATCAAAATAGCTTATTATAAGTTATTTGCTGAATTCACCATCACACATCATTTTTTTTTTGTTTTGATGATATCATGATAACTCTATATGAAATTTTGATTATTTTTTTGAAACACAGCAAGTTCCATCGTCAACAACAACAAAAAAGTATGTCTGTATGGAAAACAAAAATGTTCATCAAACCATAACCGGCCGTAAATATGAAAAAGTTTTTTTTTATTCTTTCATTTCATTTTTTTCGTCGTCAAGCATTATTCGGGCCATAAACTACAATATATACTGACAACATAACATGACATGATTGGTGTGTGTTTAGGAAAAAAAAGTCAAGTTTTCTGTTTCATTATCATTCCAATGTGAATGTAAATTTTTTTTTTAAACATGTTTTGATAATTCGAAAAGAAAATTGATGAAAATCCGTAAATTTCTAAAGAAAATTCACAAAAAACCTTTTAACCAGGATTCTGTCAAGTCAATTAAACTTTTGGTTAAACATTGTTTTTTTTTTCAATTTTGTTGTTGAACAAATGAAACTGATGTTCCATATCATCATCAGCATTGTTTTCTAATCAATGTTAAATAATAAACAAAGATTCATGAAATATGCAATATGAAAAAAGCAAAAGCAAAACTTAATTAATCGCTTCAATTCATCTATCCAATTTATGAGCAAAAAAAAAATATGTAAGCAAAGAAAAAAAAGAAAAACGTTTTTAATATTAAACGAATGAGGACATTTTCTTCTTCGTAATCATCATCATCTTCTTCTTCATTATGGAATCAACGAGAGAAAAAAAATGAATTTTTCCATGACTTTTATATACGATAGTCATGATGATTAATTAAACACATGCAAACACAAATACATTGGAACCTGGGGAAATATTCGTGAAAAAAAATCACGAATGAAAAAGAAAAGAAAATAAAATGAAAAATTCAATGAAATAGAAACTAGAAAATATGAAAAAGAAGAAGAAAAAAATTCCTGAAAAAATACAGACTCAAAGGACATTGCTATACCTTTCATGTATTTTATTCTCTAAAGAGAGTAAAGTAATAATAAATTCAAAGATGAACAGAACAAGATGATGTTTTATTCTTTCATTTTTATTTTTATTCTGGTTGTTGTTGTCAAAAAATTTATTGCCAAATGTCAGGCAAGAATAGTTGGTAAAATACAAGAAAAAAAAAATATTAACCAAAAAAAAATCGGCATTCATACAACTCAAACTATTTCGTTCTTGTTTTTCTCTATCTCATTGTGTGTGCGTAAAAATTAAATTAATTTGTTCGCCAATGAACTTATGTCTATGTTTTGTGTTTGTATATTTCCTATTTGAAATGATGATTCATTGAGCAGCAATCAGATAGAGAATTTATTTTTTCATCATCATCATCATTATTATTCTTTGTCCTAAAATAAAGAAGAGATTTTTATTTTGTTCAATTGCTGTCAATTTAAAGACCGTTTTTCTTTTATTTACCATTTATTTCAGAGACTTTTCATAGATTCATTCAAACATATTCTTTACAATTTTTTTTTGTTTCTGAAAAGTGAAAAAGAGAAACGAAAAAGAATTCTAATATAAAAATAAAGTTCAATTCTCAAACAATTCAATGTAAATAATTTTTATTTTTTTTAATGTTAGTATTGTAAATGAAATTAAAATTAATTAAATTTCTATGAAAAAATCAACAAAAGAATTTTTTTTATTTCCCGAAATATCAATACATTGATTGTCGACTTCATCATCATCATAAAAGCAAAATTAAAAAAAAATGATATTCGAATCAAAGCTATTGAAATTTGATTACAATCAAATCCTATTAGGAAACTTGAGCATCAATAAATTCAATCAGGAAAAAACTGTAAATTTCTGTAAATTTTTCACTTAAAAAAGCAGACAAGAGGACAACCATATGAAATCTGTTGACAATCAAACAGAATGTGCCAAACAATACAAAAATTTGCATCAATCTTCTAATTATAAATTGAGTAAAATGATTAAAAATTTATCCAAATTGGTAAATATTACACCTAACATAATGAAGTTAGACATTTATTTCATACGAACAATATTTTTACATTTTCTCATTTATTTTTTCTTACATTTCACAAGTTTTATATTCAGAATTTCACACACTCTTTATTCCAAACTTGCAACTATGATGGGAAAATGAGAACGAAATTGAATTTCCTGTGTATGTTACACAAAACACAATCACAATCTTGTTTTCATTCATTTTTATTTGTCGAGTTGTTTCTATTTTTTGTTTTCTTTCTATTATATTCCTTGATTCATTTTCGGGTTTTAGAAATGGACGGGCGAATTATTCTTTCTGTTTTTTTGTTTTTCGCAACGTTCAAGAATTTAGCACTATCATATTCCATGTATGTATGTATGCATCATGCCTGGGTAATGAAAACAAATGCCGAATCTGTTCAAGAATTTTTTTTTCTTTGTCTCGTTTTCTCTTTCGTTTTTCTATCTGTTTTAATACTATTTTTTTCTGTTTCTGTTTTATAATAAAGTAAGGAAAACGAAAGATGAAAAAACAAACGAAATTGTTCCAGTTTTTTTATATCTCCTCTCTGATGATGATGTTGATGATAGTTGTCTTTTTCTTCCGTTGCCGACAAAAAAAAGATACTTAACATTTCTGAAAATTATCATCGAAATAAAAAAAAAATAGAGCACAATATAAGTAAAGAATATTGGAATCATTGCTTAGGTGAATAATATCAAGTGATGAAAAAATAGGAATAGAATTTGTGCTTGTTATATTCTATCATGATCATATGAATATTATGATGTATAAATAATAAGAAATGAACTAAGAATTTTTTAATCGGATTTTCTCTTGACTTCAAAGTTCTTTGATCATAAACACATAGAGAGAAATGAAAAATAAAATAAAATTTTTATATTAAAAAAAATTCAGCTCCAAATAATAACATATGATGAGAAGAGAGTAGAGAAATGAAGAATAATTTATTTTACACGTTTTAAATAACTTTAAATGATAATAATGATGAATATTTCTTAAAATAAAATAAAGTCAGAAATTTCAACAGACACACACTTACCGGCACGAACTTGAACATATCGACTTTTGATAATGCCAACAGAATTTTCTGCACAACAACGATACGTTTGTGAATGTAAATCTGGACGATAATCTTTGGTCGAAAATTGTTGAAAAATGAGTGCATTGTCATGTCGTACATGTCGTATGCCTTTTTTTTAAATTTATTCCATTCCAAATTCCGCATTTAATATTCCGAAAATAATTCAACATAATAATAATGATGATAGTAATAAAAACAACAGCCATGATGAATAATTGGTGCCATACAGGAAACAGTGAAAAAAAAGAGAGATAAATGAATTCAGAATTAGTGAAAAGCAATGAAAAATAAAAAAATTCGTGTAATAGGCGTGTCAAAATTAATTGGATGGGCGTTGAATGATTTTCAAAAATAAACATCATCAAGAAAAATTGAAAAACAAAAATACAAACGGTATTCCTGTTTGTTCGTTTGTTTGTTTGAAAAAACATTTAGGAAACATCGTTTTTACAACGAAAAAGAAAAAATTCATTTACAATTACAATTGCAATATAATTAAAGTTAAAAAATAATGGTAAATAAAAATGAATTTTTTTCTTGTTTTCTTTTCTCCATTGAGTTTTTTCCCAGTTTCATTTTATCCCAATTTTTTATTCTTTCCCATTAAATACATTTGATTCTATAGAATTTTCTATGATGCCATTGTGTGTTTGTGTGTTTTCGTTATTATTGTTTTGTTTCTCCATTTATCCATTTATTATTTTTTCAAAATCATTTGTTTAGAGCTAATTAGGATAATGTAAAATAATGTCGTTGTTCTTTTGTTTGTATGTGTGTGTGTTTTATTCGGGAAAATTTTCCTACCAAAAAAAACTAGAGAAAACATCTCCAAAATGGAAAAATCAAAAAGTTAATAAATAAATTTACCAATGTGATGTGAAAAAGCTCAAGATTTTTTGGTGGATAAAAGAAAATTTTTCAAATAAATTTTATGAGCACACATATCAACATTATTTTCAAAAAAAATTAAAGAATCGAATGAACAAAGTCAGCAGTTGTCAGTTGTCATCAAATATTTTTTTTCCATATTTTGGTATCCAACAGAAGAAAAAAATTATTATTACCATTTACATCATGACATTTGAGGAAAATTATGTAAATTGACGTTGTCGACAACAACGCCCTTACTTGACTTATGATCCAGTTCATCATCGTCATCATCATCATTATTATTATTATCATCATCATCTTTTTTCATCGCTCAAATGATGATAGAATTCAACTTTTCTTTAAAACAAAAAACTGAGAAGTGAACCAAAAAAAAAAAAAAAAAATTCTGTATACTCAGGAAAATTAAACTTTTTTATATTATTTTCTTTGCATATAATAATCATCATTATATAATGGAATAAAAACAAAAGCAAAGAAAAAAAATTATAGGTTCAAAGATCAGCATATAATAGAAGTTTTTCGTTGTTGCTGCTGATGATTGATTGATGTGGCCAGAATGAAGAAAATTATGTTTGTTTTTTGCTTTTAATTTTCTTTTCTTTTTTTTTGACTACCTAAACAAAATTCTTTTCCGCTTGAATCGATTCCTATTCGGTTCATTTTCATCATGATAGTCAATAAGATAGTCCTGATCTGTAATATTTCACATGATTGAAAAAAAAATTGTTAAAAATTGTTCCATCCATTGTTCGTTGGTTTCCATGATTTGACGTCCATTTTGGTTTGTCTTTTTTTTCGCATCTATCGATGATCATAAATAATGGCCAACATGAGATATTTTCTTATTCTTCCTCTATCTTTTCATGTTTAGATTCATTCATTGCCAAATGACAAGAAAATTCAGGGAAAATATTAAAAATCCCTATAAGAATTGCATGTGTTTGGTGTTATAATTTTTATTTGGTTGATTTTTTTTGTATTTGTAAAGAAATATAGCATATGACTTACCTGTAACATCGGTTATAATTTGATCATTTTTTGTTTCCCAATAAACTTTTGGCATTGGATTTCCATTCACTGAACAATAAATTACGGCACCGGTACTTAAATTATGGAAAATAAAATAATTCATAATGAAATTCATTTCCAATTAAACAAAGCATACAATTTATCATGAACATAGCTTACTTGTTTGAAAATATCACTTGCTGTGGTGGTTCACGTATGAAATATGGCCCAATATGATCGACAATATGATCTATTTTTTTTAATATAAAAATGAAAGAAAAAAAATCATATTATTATCCGAAATGATAAAATAAATGAATATTAGCGAGAAAAAAAATTAATTCTCTTATCGTTCATTCATCATATTCATTGATTCGTTATGAAATTAATTTTCAACACATTATTATCATGATGTTCATTATAATAAAAGATAGACAACCGAAAGTTAATGTTTAATGTTATATGCATCATTGTCATTGTTCGTAGTTTTTTTTCTCATTGTTTGATTTTGATCATGTTTTTTTCGATGATGATGATGATGATGAACATGCAAATCCAGGCAAAAATTCCATGTACATTATTTAAACGAGAAAGAAAAAGAAAGAAAAACGACAAATCATCTAAATAGAATTGACTATGAAAGATTGACAACCAAGGAAGCACCAAAAAAGGAAAATGAATGAAATTCTCAAAACAATAGCGAATGATTTGGGAAGGGGCAAATATCTAGTTAACGATTATTAAATTTCTATTCATTTCACTTTTTAATTTCACCTAGATAGATTGTTTATGGAATTTCATTGTATTTTTCTTGAATCAAAAAAATCAATTTGATTGTAATGGATATTGACAGAGAAAAGAAATCATGATTCATTCACCATAGGCAACCATAACAAGAATCATATACGATTATTGTCAAATAATGATATTGGAACTTATTTATCTTCAATCAATATCGAATGATATTGAAAATGAATCAAATCAATCAGTTCATAGTGTTTGAATTGAATTCTTTTCCCGTAGATACCCGAAAAAAAAGAAAAACAGACAAATTCTCATTGATTCTTTCTGCACAAAAAAAATACAACAAGGTTAGATATTTATTTATTTGCGTGATATCATTCATATCAAATATATATAGAAATTCATTTTCATTGATATGACACGCAAAATGAATTTTTTTATATATTAGATGATAGGCAATACTTATATATGTGAAACAACCATTTTTTTTATTGAATATTACACCAACCAGCCAAACAAATAAACGACCAAATACCAGATATGAAAATGAAAAAATAAAAACGTTAATCGGTTCACACACTCACACAAATGCCATACGCCTTCTTAAGCCACGAAACAAAGCAGAAGAAAAAGAGAAAAAAAAATCTTTCAATGATGAAAATTCCGTATTCATAATAAACAATATTAACAAGAATAAATTGTTTGAACCAAAGAATCTAATATATAAATTATACAAAGGCGTTGAATGAAAAAAAAATTCAAGCTCATCATATCATCATCGTCGTCATTTTTTTGACTTTTTTTCTCATCAACATACATTGCTTCTATTCAGTCATTTTTTTCTGAGCAACCAGATCAAAAAGACGAGAGAAAGCGAGAAAAACGTAAGAATGGGCGAAAAGATAAAAATTTCAAATATTCCATCCAGATGATCATCACAATGATGATGATGATGATGATAGCGACAATAGTGAAATCCATATATAATATTGAGGTTATATTGTCATAGCGTGCATTGTCATGCTATTGCCTGACTGGATGAATGAATGACTGACTGTTGGTCGCATATATGACAACGATCCATGATGATGATGATCATAGCACCAATTTGGTGTGGCACGATATATATGCAAAGAAGGGGGAAAGAGAAAAAAATGAAGCCAGGAAATTCAAAAGAAAAAAAACGGAACATCAAAAATAAAATAAAATACCAACAACAGCAGCCAAAATATTCATTCAGCTTTTCCCGCACCAAAACACCACCACTACCGAAAAAAAGACAGACATCAAATCATCAAAAAATAGGAAAAAAAGAATGTTCCATAATAGTGAAAAAGAGAGAGAAAAAAAAGAAAGTCAAAAATCTATGGAAGCTCCAATTTTATTTTTATTATCATTATTATTATGATTATAACCAAACATGTATTACAACGGTATGCCGTATACATCCGCCCTCCTTTTTTTGAAAAGAAAATATTGAAGAAAAAAAATCATTCAATAAATTAAATAAGATATGTAATAGGAAAAGAATATCTACATATTTAAGATATTCTGATCGAATAATAATGATGACTTTCATTATTATAATCTACAAAGGAATTTCGTTCTCATTCTGATTTTGTATCTTTCAGAAAACAAACGAAGGGGTATTTAAATTGTCCAAATTTTATTGACTTAATTATAATCATATGCCTGTCGAAAAAAAACAAATAAATGTTAACCAAATAGTAATAGCCAATGAAAGTATCCAGTAGAATATAAAAATCAAAGAATTTTTCTTTCATTTATCTATATTTCTTATTATCGAATAAGTTGCATCGTCTTCTGAATGTGATCTATGTAATGTAATGTGTGGATAGAAAATTTTGTAAAATAAGAACACCATAACTCATTTGCTATCAAGTCATGATCGTCATAATCAAAAGTCAATAATAATCAAACATAATAAACATAAAAAAATAGAGAAATAAAATTACTAGAATCATTGGAAAGAAGAAAAAAAATCCTTTATACTTAATATAAAGTGATGATGAAATTGGCAATCATTTTTCATCGACTTGATGATGATTATGATGATCACTATCATCATCATCGTGGTATCCGTGATGATGATCATGATGATGGCGATTATTATCATTCATTATTATATGGTATATAATATTCATACATACAGGAAAAAAATTCCTAATATGCATGTTTCATGTCATACATATTTCCGCATAACAATATAACGATAGACCACAACAATAATAACTATTCAATAACTAATAAATAATAATAATAATAATAAAACAAAAATGGCTCAAAATTATCGATAATCATTGTTCGATAAGAATATTCTTTTTTTTATATATTGAATATAAGAAAATTCGATAAATAAAAAAATAGATTGAAAATACGCGTATGATAATAATAAAAGAATTTGTCATCATTTGATCGTTTATCATCATACAAAATATAATTTCCGCGTATACATAGTACCGAAAAAAAAGATCAACTATGGTGATAATGGAGCATTGAGTGTATGTGTGTGATCATTATGGATCATCAGGGATTTGATGGATTCAATTCGATCATTATTCGATAGTCATCATTATAGCCTTTAACCCATAAACTGTATTACTTTTAGTTCAATTTCAATTTTATGATAATGATTTTCAATTGTTATCCATTTATCCAATGTACTCACATACAAATTTTATGTAATAAACAGCAAAAAAATAAGGTCAAGAATAAATAAGAAAAAATGATTATCTTTATTAAGAAAAGATTCTGTATGGTTTTGATGAAAAAAGGAATAACTTCTAAACAATATATTTTTTCTAAGAAATAATAATGTAAATTCACAAATGATTATGATAATGATGATGATATAATGATGATTTCATGAAAACAATATATGTTCAGGAATTTTTTTTTAAGAATAGAAACGATTATAATCATTAAGAAAATAAACAAACTAAACCAGATAAAAATATTATGTTAGAAATATAAAGATTAACAATGAAATTCAAGTACAATATGTCTTTAATTGAATAAATTTTCATGATGAACAATAAGAAAAATACATTATGTTCCAAAAATAATAAAGTAAAAAATGATAAATTACTTTATTAACCAATAGAATGTCTCAAAATTTTTCCGGTTAAAATTGTGCAAGAAAATGAATGAATTTAAAATTTAATAAATGAACTAGAAAAAAGCAAGAAAAAAAGAATCTCATAGTTTGCGGTGGATTCATGAATTGAAGTTTATTGACAAACAAACAAAAATTCAAATATAAAAAGATAAAAGTTTTACTGTTTTCCGTTTCGACTATCCAGTCGAAAAGTTTATACATTACACATTTATAATCAAACAATTGAGTAGCTGATGTGGTTGTCTTTTTCTGAAAAACATTCATTGCTTTCAATCACTAAACCGATAAGACCCAAGATATAAGAATCGTATACACATTATACATTTTTACATGATTTGCTTTTATTCCAGCCATTCTATAAAATAAGTCAGCTAGTCAGTCAAACGAAACCACAAGACATACATACATACACACAAGAAGTTTGACGGAATTGAATAATGCAATGCTAGGCAGACAAAATGAGAGAGAAAAACTTGTTCATTCAAACGACAATAAAGTAAACGACAAGATTTTTTTCAATCCAAAAAAACTAGGAATGTCTATTTTTTTCTTTTTTTGGTAAAATCGACAAAAAAAATAAATTCAGTAAAAAAATTTGCATAAAGATTTAGCATTGATTCTTATTGGCATTGACTCATATTATCATTATTGCATTGTGAATCAAACTCAAAAAAGCAATATAAACATACACAAACACACACGCAAAGATATATTTTCTTTTCTCTTGATATAATCCAATGAGGCAATCTACTAATATTCGTCTTTTCTTTTTTTTGGAAAACGATCCATACGGATATAAATTCTTTTGGATTTTCTTCATATTCATATATTTTATATGACACATTTATTTAAAAATAAGCACGAACAACATTTTGAAGAAAATAAATTTTGTGAAATAACTTTTACCATTATAAAATTGCAATGCTGTGTGTATGTATTTCTAAAGGCATTCATTATTAAAATTCACATGCTGAGATTCTATATTCTGTATATAAAAAAAAATATATATTCATTTGACTGACAATAATAATAAGTGTATGGTTTGTAAAGAAAATAAACCGATTCTAATTTATTCACATAAATGGATGTTTGATTTTTTTTTTAATTTCAAATTCAATAAAAGACAAACAAAAACGATGAACAAAACAAAATTCAAAAAATCATTCATTAATTAAAACAAGAATTAATTTTTTTTTCTGTTTCTCAATACATTTTTCATTCATAATTATATTATAATGATGATGTTTACTTTATTGTAATAAATTTTGAAAATAAAATTCATTAATTTTAGTTGTTCATGTTTATTTTTTTGCTTTTACTCGATGGAATTTCAAATAAAGAAAAAAAAGAGTTAAAAAGAGAATATATGTCAACAACATGATAAATGTTTGTTTCGTGTGAAAAGAAAAATAAGATTTAAATTGAAGAATTTTTGAATATTTTTTCACATTATTTCTTTTTTTTCAAGTTTCTAAGAATTCATTCATTTCATAAGTGAACCAACAAAAACATTGAACATTTCTTTAACGTCTCACATATGAGGATGCTTAATTTTAAATTAAAATTATCCGATAGGATAACCAATTTATTGACTAATTGACATTTAGATATTTTTTTCAGTTACAATTACAAATACATTCAACAATTGACTGTTTTGAAAAAAAACTTTATTTTTCTTTAGATTGTAAAACTAAATCGAAACGATTTGTATTTCTTACTGTTCTTCTTTTTTGACATTAACCATTACATTTAAAATGTAAACAAAAGTGAATTCAGGATATTTTTTCTAATGGACAATTTGAAAAAAATCCATCTTCATTCATTCAATCAATGAATTTTAACTTGTTTATATGTGTTCTATCGAATTGAAAAAATGAAAAAAATTTAAATTAGGACAAAATTTGATTTCATCGTATCAACTGACAATTTTATTCAACCATATTTTGAACAGCATCGAAATGGATTTATGAATTTTACGAAAAAAAATTAAACAAACAAATTGGAATTGTTTTTAAATCAAAAATTTTGATCCATTTCTCATACACACACTATAGAAGAATGACATCAAAAGTTATCAACAAAAAATATACCAAATGTCAGAAAAGATTTTCAACCGAAAGAAGCAGAACTGAAAAAAACTGAATCAAAAGAATTAAAGAATTTATTCATTTCATTCCATTCATATCCTTTTACAATTCTAGATCAAAATTGTAAGTTGAAAGGGGAAAAACGAAAACAAAAAATAAATTTGACAGATTCAAGAAAAAAACAAAAAAAACTGACAGAAACAGAATTCAAAAATTGGAAATGTGTGTTTATTTGTGTGTGTGTTTGCGTTTCATTATTTCATTATCAACATCATGACTTGTTAGAGAAAAAAAGATGTATTTGCATTATTCTTTTTCTTTTTGTTTTTGTTGCGAAGAAAAAAAAGATTCATTAGAAACGAAAAAATAAAACTCAATTTTTACATTCAAAATAATGATTCATGAATGGATGAATGAATCGAAAACTAATGGATGAAAATCATATTTGAATAAAGACAAATATGAAATCGAGAAAGAGATGAAACATCCAACGAATTGTTTTTATGTTTGAAACAAAAATTTCCATACTGATTCATCATCATTGTCATGGATCAATTTTTTTCTGTTCTCTCTTTCTTTTTTATATCAAATATGATGAAAGCAAATTAGGATAATTCAAGATAATCAAATCAACCGACCGACCCATCTACCAATTGAAAATGATGATAATAATAATGATGACAAGCGAAAACAGCTGTAAAACGTTGTGCATCCATATTATCGACATGTGGATTTTTGTTAAAAACTGGATGGTGGGAGGGGGGAATATTGGTAACATTTGTCATAAAATGTTGTTTCTTTTTCCTATAGATATATCTGAGAGAAGAAAACACTAAAAATTGAATCAAACCAAAAACGATAGACTGAATTTTATACATTTTTTTTTTCTTTAATTTTGATTCTATCAAAACATAAATACTTGATACACACACAGAAATTTTTTGAATGGATGGCTGAATTCCATCGTCGTTTATTCAATCTCTCTCTCATTCAATCACATACTCAATCGTAGAATTTATAAATAAAAAAAATTTCTGTCTCTTTTTTTCTGGTTTCTCGATTCTTGATTTTTGGTTGAATGAATGAATGTTTGGATGGATACAAAGATGGATGGATGGATAGATAGATAGATAGATGGTTGAATCAATGCTATCTCGTGCATGAAAGAAGCCAATTGACTACGACAAGTAAAATAATAATAACTTTTACTTTTACTATTGAAAATTTACAATAAAATTGCCAGTCAAAATTCACTATTCACGCAATGAAGTCAAGTCGACTATGTTTCGTTGTAACTTTTAATAACATTGAATAAGAAGAAAAAGAAATGGAAAAAAAACAGACTGGCTTGATGCAAACATAACAACAGGGTAAAATCAAAAACAAAACAAAACAAAAATAGTCCCAATTGGAACGTTTTCACTAACGACGACAACAACAACAAAAACAAAATAAACAAATGAACGTCATTTATATTAAGGGGACAATATCATTCATTGAATTGAAGATAGATGGTGAAAAATGAAAATTTCAATTTGAAATAACATCAATGTATCATAGAAAATTTGTTTGTGAAATAAATCATGAAAATGTTTGTTTCCAAAAAAACGAAACCAGGAGAAATATTCTTTAAATATTTCATTATTTTGTCTTTGTTTCTTATATTATTAAAAATCATGTTTTTATAGATTTAACAGTTCATCATCTTTTTTTTGTCATAAATTGATATACTAAAATACTGGATGCGGCTGAAATTTGAGATGAATAAAATTTTTTCCCAAAAAAAAATATGAATGTCATAAACATTGAATGAAGATTTATATGTTAACATAAAAAACAAATAATAACATTGTTTGCAAGTGAAATTTAAAGAATAAAAACACACAAAAAAAACTAAACATACCTGCTGTATTGAGCAATAAACAACTATTTGGTAATGGCAACATTGTTGTTATCATTATAATCATCAAAATCATATTTTGAATAATGATTGAATATAATGGAAATTTCCTCAAATTCGACAATGATAATGATGAAAAAATTGATGTTGACGTTGTTGCGAATGATGATGATGATGATAAATAGGTAGTTTTCAATAAATCATTATTGATAATAAATTTTCGATCATAATACGACCAATTTGATCGTTGTTTAATTTTGGTCATCATCAAATTAGACATCATTTTCATTGCTTGGACAACTGTTTGAGCATAATTACTGGCCATTTTTAATGATCAAAAAAATTTGGATTTTCAAAATTTCAAAATTTTTTTTTGCTTTTCTTTTTGCCATTCAATTTTATTCGTATATTTTAAATCTTCAGTAATTTTCTGACTTTTAATTCATTCACAATGTATATAAGATCGATTCGCAATCATCCGTTTCCTGATGTAATATTTGTTTGTTTTGTTACTTTTTTCTCTTCGTCATCAAATAAAACAAACAAACTTTATGAAATGAATCAAATATTCATCAACGAAATGAAGAAATAGAAATTTTGTTGTTGTTTTTTTCTGAATTAAAAGAATAAGAAAAATAAACTTGGAAATGAAACATGATCAAAACAAATAAGGGTAAAAAGTTTGACATGACATTGTCCAATTGGGAATTCTATCGCCAACATTGGCATCATCATCAACAACAGCAACAACAAACATTATCATTATGATGAATTATTTGAAATATCTTCATAGATATATAATGGTTGAAATTATTTTGATGTTAGGAATAGAAAAATCTTGATGATTTAGATGATGATGATGATGGACATTGGTCATTCACATATAATTTTTTCATATTGAAATGATCAAAGATGTATCTTAATGTCAAAAATGTCTTAGAAGACAGAAAATTGACAATGAAAGAAAAAACATTGAAAATTCACTTGAATGTAACGGTTCATTTAAAATAAAAAAAGAAAAATTCAAAATTCACTAAACGACCAACTAACCAAAGACTAAATCACAAAAAAAGTTATTGCGGTTGGAGTGATGGTTGTTGTTGATCACACACAAACGATAAATTTCACCATTTTGACAATCTGATAATGGAATCCGGTTGAAAATCAAGAAAGCCAACAAAAATAAAACGATAAAAGCATCGTTATCTATAGAATTAGAAATTAGAATTTGCAAGTGTTTTATTTGTTGTTTTGTTGTCGATGATCATCAAAGTATAACAACAACAACAACAAAAAAGTTTGTTGTTGTTAATGTTTGAAAATTAATTTTCATGTAGAATTCTGGAAAGTAGAATTTTTTTCTTTGTTCATTCTTTAGTATTTTTTCTTTTAATTTATTTTGCGAGAAAAAAACGATATCAAAAATCATTGATGCATTTTGAGGCAGAATTTTTTTTCTAAGAAATTTTCTACGATTTTTTTTCTGGCAAACACTATTCGCAATTAACTTGTTGACGGTGAGCTTTATTCGAAATGAAACAATGTTTTAATTTTAAAATTGATGATAAGTGTGTTTTGAAATGAATTCATTAATCGATCTAATTCGGCTGAATGATTATTGATTTAATCTTGAACAATCTACTTCAGAACAATTTAGAATGTTAACTGATCAATATGAAAAAACGGTATCATGATGTTTCAACAACAACAAAAAAGAGTGTAAACACAAACAAAGAAGAAAAACAGCAGAAATTCAAACTCATCAATGTTTGAATGGATACAAAATCAATTCAAATAATATCAAATATACACACACACAAACACTTTAACTTCTAACTAAAATTTTATCAAAATTATATCCTTATCATCGTCGAAAGAAAAAATTTAGCCATCATTGATAAACTATGTTGAATTCAATTGAATTCAACATTGAAAAAAAAACATTGAATTAAAACGATGATCACACGGCCAACCAACCAACCGAAACCATATCATCACAAAACAAGGGACCAAAGTAATATTTAAAAATGATTGTTTTGATCTGCCTATCTCATGCTTGTTGGAACACTAACAAACAAACACTGGTATATACAGTTGATTGATCGGTCAGAAAAACGGTCGTTTACCGTTCATCTGTCCGGATCGTTGACTGAAATACGACTGAACCATTCTTTTGGCTAGTTATGTTAGTGCAGTTGTATTCGATGAAATGAAATGAAAATGGAATCCATCCATGAATGGTGATTCTATTCACACATTGGATTTTTTTCTGTATATATAAATTTCGCCAGCGCAGTTTTTTCATAAATAAATGACATTGGTTGGTTTTTTTCTGGTGCGAATGGATCCCAACCGATCCCAATGCACACACCGACATCACGCAAATCCAAATCACATACACACACAGTTAGAAAAAGTCTCGATCAATAAACAGTTATTTGATGGTAGAAGCACATATTGATGTGAAGAAAAATTCAATGGATCCAATGAGATCACGCGCGCCAAAATCAAAATGCGCGGCCCCTTTTTTTAATAATAACAATAATGATTATCAATGGTAATTGAATTGCATACAAGTCATGTTCATGGATCAAAATGAAATTTAATATCAAAAATAATAGTACAGAGATAAGATGTTGTTCGCCATTTTAATGTTTAGCTTTGTACCTTTATCATTATAAAACATCCGAAAGCATAGCAACAATGATGATTTCATCAGGATTCAGTTTATGTGAACTAGCGTATATACATTTTTTTATTGGTTTTTCTCGCGCGACTAGCTTTTTGCATTATTACTATTATTCGCTGACATTTTTTTTGTATATGGATACCATTTATTGTCATTATAATTCAACCTTGGTTGAGTCAGGATTCCCATTAATAACAATGGAGGAAACCAAATAAAATAAGAGATTATAACATATAAACGAGGTTCACATTTAGTGTGGCATAATATTATGGGATAATATCATACGATGGTTAAATTTAATCACCGAAATGTTAAATGTCATCGTTTCAATCATTTTACATGATAATGGAACAGTCCGAATATGTTTTCTAATTGAATAATTCAAAATCGATCCCAATCAATTGATTTTTTTTTTTGATTTCAATGAATAAAGCAACAGGACATAAATGTATCATAAAAATTTATTTTAACAAATAATGTTAACAAAAAAATAAAATAAAATTGGTTAATGTGTATGCATGCCATCTATCGATGATTTTTGATGAATTTGAATTTGCTTCATTTTTTTGATTTACGTACAAATGATAGAAATATTCGTTCTAATGATGTTTGACAGATGGAATAATCTTCAATCGATAATAAATCTTTTGATCGTTCAATACTACCAAACAATTGACTTAATTTTATCTGATTTGTTTGAATTTTGTATACAACCATATTATTATGAATTCCATCTACGTAACATTCAATGAATTTCGTACGCATAAATTTATCCAATTCTCGGATGGATTTTTCTACGATCGGATTTCGCAATTTGATATGAACAATATAACCGGCACCATATTTTTGTTTCAAATGCATCGGACTGCCCAAACAGGTGATACGACCATGTACCATGATTATTAATCGATTGCATAGTGCTTCACATTCTTCCATCGAATGTGATGTCAATACCAATGAAGAACCGGCTTTACGAACCATATGTATAGCATTCCATAGACATCGTCGTGATACTGGATCAACTCCGGTAGTTGGTTCATCCAAAAATGCAATTAATGGATTTCCAACGATTGACTTTTAAAAAATCAATTAAACATAACAAAAATTTGTATTATTTATAAGTTTGAATTTGAAAGAAAACTCTACTTACGATTGCAAAGCTAAGTTTTCGCTTAGTTCCACCGCTGTATCCACTGATTTGTTGATCGATATGTTTTTGAAAGAATAGTAATCTACTCAATGCATCAATTTGCTCATCAATGATATTTTCGTTGATTCCACGAATTCTCGAAATAATTTTCAATGTTTCTCGACCGGTTAGATGATCGATAAGACCATTGAATTGTGGACAATAGCCGATGTCACGATAAATGAGCCGAATGTCTTTTTTAACACTGTTACCATTGACAAGAATATCACCGCTGGTCATATCTTCGCTTCCGGTTATCATTTTAAACATTGTTGTTTTTCCAGCACCATTTTCACCCAATACACCAAAACATTCGCCACGTTTCACACCAAAACTTATATCGCGCACAGCTTGAAATTTTCCATAATTTTTACTTGCATTTTTTACAATCATCGAATCAGTTCGATTTAGTGAAAAAAGACTTCGTCGTTTTAATCGATCATTTTCGGCTTCAACATCACTTTCTTCGGTATCCATATCGCTCGATTGCTTTTTATTATCTATTGTCGGTGATGATTTTATTTTGATTCGATATATCAATCGACTTTCCAATATGGCAAGTATGATCCAAAAAACGATCCCTTGAATAGTCATAGCAAGCAAATTGGAACCGATTCCCGGCTTAGTTATCGAGAAAAAATTCTCCTCAAATCCCCAGCATCTCATTCCGCATATTTCTTTACAGCACATTTTGATCATTCCTAAACTCTCAATATCATAGTGACAAAGTTGTTGAATATTCCATGTTTGATTAAATATTATAACATCAGAAAGACAAGTATCCAATGCCATTGCATTCGATGATAAATCATACGTTGCCATACCCATATTATGAATAGGTACAATAAATGAAAAAACATAATCAAGCATTTTACTTAATTTTAGAACATCTAATGCAGGTATTTCAAGTATCAATACGACCAAAAATGTAATTGTACCCAATATTAGTGTATATAGTGCTAGACGAACATAAGCGGTAGCTGAATTACGAAAAAACAACGAACAAATATAAACAAATGGTAATGATGCGAAACCATGTATAGCGTATATGACAAACAATCGGCCTAGTTGTTTCCATTCATTATAGCTGGTCACATTGAGCCAATATATTATGGCACATGACATTGATGATGAAATCAGATAAATAATGAAATCAATAATAAAATTACTAGTCCAATATTGGAACAAATGTAATCCACTAATCTGTTGAATATGTTTAAAATTCGTTGATTGTTCTTTTACAAGAAAAATGATGAAGCTAGCCAAAAGAAAAGCAACAGAAAATTGAATATTATTCGATACTTGCAACTGTTCAGACATATCGAATCCGACGGCCTGAATGTTATCAAAATGTTTACGAGGAAACGGATGATTCCATATTTTTAATCGAAAATTTTCACCAACAATATGTTGAATTATTGTTTCATCAACAATTGAAATCGAAATAGCACTGGAATGATATGCTTGATTATTATACATAGCTATAATATTCATTCCATTTTCAGTCATTCCAAATATTGCAGAAATAATATAATACATATTGAAACGATCTTCATGTTCAGCACCATAGTTGGCCAAATATTCTATAGCATAATCTTTTAGTTGATCAGTTTGGTTTACTTTTTCTGAAAATTAAATTTTAAAATTGAAAAAAATCAAATTATTTATCGTTTAAATATTTACCATCGACAATGGTGATCGTATGGGCATTCCTAATGTTATTCTGATAAAGATTGGATAGTGAATTCATTTGTTGATTATTATCATGAAATATTGTGGCTTCAATTTCATGGAATTTATCAATATTTAACAATAATGGTGGTGAAATTGCATTCTGGTTCATCTGATTTCGATTGACTGTGATGCTTAGGCCTAATATTAGACCGGGTAAAATAAATTGTGCAAACAATGTGAATAGATTACGATAAGTAAACAAAATCTTTTTAACAAATAGACTATAATAAACTTGTAGATGATGAGGAAATCCTTGATTAAATTTCAATGAATTATGTTTGATTTTTTCAATCATTGATAATTCTTTGTCCAATTTATCATTAAGATGTTGATTTTTTTCCTCATAAAATCTATTCATTTGTTCGGTGCCTTGTTGAGCAAAATCACCCACACGTAAGAATACTTCTTCAAGTGTTGTCATTGAAATTCCAAAATTCATAATACCAAGTTTGGTCATATTTTGTTCAATTGTAGCAAATAATGATTCGAATTTAAAAGCTTCATTTTCAGGCAAACTAAATGTTACTTCACGTCCTATTGAAGTTAATATTTTGGCATGATGAATATATGATCGAATTAAATCGGCCAAAAGTCTAATATCAAATTGATCTTCTTGAACAACAAGCGTCAATAAATAACCTAGGCCGTGTTCTTTTTTCAATTCGATGGGTGAGCCAAAACATTTTAATTTGCCTTGTTCCATGATGGCAATTTTATCGCCAAGAACATCGGCTTCTTCCATAAAATGTGTGGATAACAATATAACACGATTTTTTTTCTCTTTGATCAATAGATCCCATATAAATCGACGAGCTGAAACATCCATACCGGATGTTGCTTCATCCAATAATACAATTTTCGAATCACCTATCAATGCTATACCTACCGAAAGTTTTCGTTTCATTCCTCCCGATAATGTATGAGCTTGATTATGACGTTTGTCGACAAAATCCAACATTTTTATCATCTTTTCAATATAGTCATTGATTTTTGAATCATCAATATTTTTTAGCTTACAATAGAACCATAGATGTTCTTGAACTGTTAAATGATTGAAAAGTACATCAAATTGGGGACAAACGCCAAGACTTTTTCTTATTTCATCGAAATCATTTTCCGAATCACTATCACCAATATAAATTGATCCAGAACTTGATGGTATTAAACCACAAAGAATCGACATGAGTGTCGTTTTTCCTGCTCCATTATGACCTAGCAATACAGTGATTTCATCAGGTTTCATTGATAGATCAAAATTCTGTAATGCTTTAATTTTGCCACGATTATAAGATTTTGTTAGGCCACATAATTCAATACCACGTTTATTCTGGATAATTTGTCTATCCTGCATTTCATTATCATTTGAACGTATTCGATTTTTTGATTTCCATTCAAACCAATACGAAGGCTGTAAGAAATAATACCATTTTCGTGGTATACCATATCTACCCGGGAAAACATTACTGATATATAATGCTAATGTAAAATATATTATTGAATCTATCGCAAACATCATCAGGATATCCTTGAATGTTACACTATCATCCAATGTAGCCGGTTCTGATAAGTTAGACCATTGTAAGCCAACATGTTCGCTTTCCCAAATCGATATAAACATACAACCCAAGGCCATATTAGTATTGAATAATAAGCTGATTACTATTTTTACCACTCGAGATAGTTGCCTTTAAAAAAATAAATTAATGACAATCAAATGAGATAATTTTCAAGATGAAAAATAATATATTTGAAAAAACTAAACTGATAATTCATGCTCACGCTCATATATGGTACAAATGTTAGAAAATAAATCGTACCGGCACCTATTCCAGCTATATTGGCCTTTTTGTGATGAGAAATTAAAATTTAAAAATAAAATTGATTTTTTGTTTTGTTTTTTTTTCAAAAAAAAACTGTTGAAACTTACATTAGTAAAAAATGCGCTTAGTAGAAAACAGAATGAAATTGATGATATTATATAAGCCATGAAAAAAATTAGTATGAGAATCGGATTGCTATTACTTATGATTCCATGATCCGGTCGAAATGGTACGCAGAATAAAATAGTTATGATTATTATACTGATACTATTCCAAATTAACGAATCAAAAAACCATGACGTCCAATATATCCAATCTTTTAGATTCATCATTTTCATCACTTCTTTCAGTCGAATTTCTTTTTCCAAAACAATATTTTTTACGAGATTGACGTTTGGATAAATGAAACTGATCATCATAATCATTGGAAACATGAATTGAAGTGAAAACATAAATTGATCATTGTTGTATGGTGGATATGGAAATCGTAGAACATTATACGAGTGAACATTATGGAAAAATTGCGACGTTTCATTCGGCTTTTGTAGATAAGAATATGCACGACAAATAAAATGTTGAATAAATAAAAATCCATTTGTATAATATGCAGGTGGACCTCCCTCATCGGAATAGTTAGTTCTAGGACCTGGTTTTTGAAATATTGGAAAATTCCGGGATGTTTGCCATGTAAATTCATTAACTTGATCAAAATCGAATTCATCTCTTAATCCTTTCGGTGCAAACGAAAAGCGAAGTTTAAAATCCAGCGAATCCTCTGTCAAAGAATTAAACCAAATACCACAACGTATTGAATCCGAATTTTGCTGAACATAATAATCGACCATTTCATTTTCTGTTTCGAAATCCTTAACTTTCGATGAATTTGTTTATAAAAATTTTGATATTGGCAATGATCGAATCGAAATTTATCGCTTACCTATTATGCCTTTTGTAAGTATACTGAACCTATTCATCAATTCAATTGTCTTGTTTGTTCGTGGGGCAAACAAAACCATTTTATTGCTGAATTCTTGATAGTCTTCAATTTTTCGTTGCTGGAAAGTAGTCGTATTGGTGATCCGATCGAATGATGTTATCAAACGAACAGTCACCAAAATGATTGTAAACAAACAAGGTGCAGCTAATTCGAACAACAAAATCCATGGATGACGAATTCGAAGTTTATAATTTTTCCAAGATAAAAGCCATAATCGATTTAAGCCAAACATTTTTCGGATTTAGTTCCGATGTAGATCGATCATTGATTAAAAGGTTTATGTCGAACAAAAGCAACTCAACGTTTTTTTGCTATCAATTGATTGATTGAATTCTATCTATCAAAGCAAATTAAAAAACGGATAATAGCATCCTTTTAAAATAAAAACCCTATAACCTTTTGAATAGTCATTTTATTTGATATTTAAACATCATTATTGATTGTAACCATGGTAAATACAATTGAATAAAAAAAATTAAAAAATCAAATGTACTAGATTAACCATCATAATATAAAGATGATGATTGAAACAATGCATATTTTTGCAAAAAATCATTACAAATCGACGGGGGTAGACATTTCAATGCCTTATGGTATAGATTGGTTGATTTAACAATATTACCCATATCATACATGGCGTATTTAATATAATCAATCCAAATTTGTGCATCATCATTGCCGAAATAATAGATAAGATCTTCGTATACATTGGCTTGTGATGATTGTTGCTGTTGTTGGTCGTCTTCCTCACTTAATGTGTGCTTTTCAATTTCAATCATTTTTAGGAAAAAATTTTTACATATAGGTGATACAGATTTATTTTTTTCATAAAAGGAACGTGCACGATTGATGCCCATTAGATGATAAGTAATAGCAAGAATTTTCGGTTTAAAATATTCTGACATTTTACGTGGTGAATGATTTAATATTTGATTATTAAAATCGTTAATAATCTTTAGAATTTTTTGTGCTGGCAGTTTATTTTTTAATGACCAATCGATGTATAATTCCCAAAAATCCATACCTATACTGGCATTGTTTTGATCGAAATTAGTGAACTTTTTCATTAGACAATCATCAAAATATTTATGTACAATTTTCTGATTTTCAGAAGAAAATTTAGCCATAAAACAAGCAATGAATAAATGCAAATTCAAATCATTCGGCCATCTTTCGGCACCATCTAATAATAAATGTTGAAGTCTTTGCATTGCCAGATTGTTACTTCGAAAGCAGGTATGATAAAATCTGATCCATTGTTGAAAAATTTTCATTGTAATTTTGTTAACGTCCCATAATGTTTCTAATAAATGTAAAATTTCAGCAGCTTGATCCGTAGTGTTATTGTTATAATTTTCCAATAAATCTTTAAATCTTTGAAACCAAAATATGTGAAAAGAATTATAAAAATTTAAAAAAAAATATGACCGATAAAAAAGGTTCTGCGTACCTAAATTCGAGATAAAATTCCCACATCAATGATGTATCAAATCGTATGCATGCTTTCTCAAATATTTCCACCGTTTCAGCGATGGAAATCTTTTTGATTTCCAATTTTTCATCATCATTTTCAGCCATATTGCCCCGCAATTTTTGTTTATATTCTTCATATTTATTCATAGCAACAAGATTCCAAAATTCTTCCTTTTCATCAAATCTGGCTTTGAGATCATCCATAATGAATATTTTTATCTCTTTGGTTGTTTCATAATCAAATCGATTGCAAATGTCGATAAAATTGGCAGCAAAATCAAATTGATCATAACGATTGGTAGCATGCTTATAAACAATTGATGCTAATTTTCCATTCCAGATTTTGTCTTTTGATTGTTTATCACTCCATTCCGAGGTCGATCTATATTAAATTTATTAATTAATTAATAAATCTCGAGATTTTTTTCAATGAAATATTTTGCACTTAAAAATTTGAACTTACTTTTCATCGGAAAATTTTAAAAACAATTTAAATCTTTTACGGATTTTTGCACAATATAATAATTCAAATTTGAAATATTCCAGCCAAATAACTTTAGATTCTGGATGAAATGAAATTGCCTTCAACATTATCTTACGAGCCGTTTGTGATGAGGCTTTTTCTTCGAATTCAAATTTTGCATATTGAATCCATAACCATGGTTTGTTGTGAATTTGTAGCATACGAAAATAGATAATCGATACAAGATCGTACATTTTTTGTTTTTTAACAAAATCTATATATGATAACCAAAGTGAAATATCGGATCTGAATTTATTAATAGTAAATTCAAATAATTTTTTAATATGTTCAATAAAGCTATATTCAATTTCATATCTATCAACTTCGATTTCAAGTTTATCGCAACGAACACGTATCAATTTCAATAGACTTTCTTCATATGCAAGATATTGTAGAAAATCATTTTTATCTTTATTCACTTTTCGAAGACGATATTCAAATTCTCGACGTTTATTCAATATGGTTTTGATTTCGGATGATTTGAATAGACCATATTTTTCCAATACAGCTAAATCAAGTATGGATGTTTCAAAAACTTGTTGAACAATTTCAGCCATTTATTTTCAAATTTAAAAAACACAAAAAAACATCAAAAAAAATTAGGTCAATTGATTCTTAATATAAACAACAAGAATCCGTTTTTTTCAATGCAGCATGCATACAGTCATTTGGAACACGTGTGCGCGCATGCATTAAACTCAAATATTATATCCAATGTGAACCATCCGTAAAGTAAATGTCTGGATATCCGTCATATTTTTTTTATTACAAAGAATTTTTTATTAAATTCTAGGTTTTTTATTTATAAAATTGAGATTAAGTTCAAAATTCAAAAATACTGAGGAAGAAAATACATTTTTTTAATTAAATGAGAATCATCGAGTATGTATTGGAACAAAAGTCTGGCACAGTTTTTTTTATGATTTGAATTGAAAATTATTATTTATTCGTTGAATGTTTTCAGTCGATTTGTTGGTTGTTTTTTTCGTTTCCAATAAAAATACGAAATTCATGATTCAGTGAGTAATGAAATAACGAACAAATACAGATAGACAAAGAAATGAATCAAATGGAATACCATTCGTATGAAAGATATTTTAATATGAGTCTTAAGATTGCCGCGTACATGTATCTCGGACGGATCATAAAAACACATACTGCTACGAGGAAGAGATATATAGAAGCTATACGATCGATTAAATAAATCGATATCAAAAAATTAGTTATATAAACATTAATTTTGGTTATAGATTCTTACTTGTAGATTAGATAGAATAACATGATTAAATTTATGGCTAATAGAAACCAACGACTTGTCAATAGAATCAGACAGATATTTGTTCCATGAGCTATTAATTCCGGTATGATCCACTATAAATCAATTAATAGATTAAAATCATATAAATTTTCAAATCATCATATTCGATATTGAATTACCTTGTTTAATTTATCACAACATTGTATTGGATTTAGATAATCACAATCCAAATCGCTCAATGTGATAAGCTAAAAAATTTTGAAAAAAAACAATAAATTTTGGAATAAAACTCGAAAATTATTTCGGAAATATCATTATTAATTAGAAATGTAGCCAGTATGATTATTAATTTTTATACGAAAAGCTTACTATATAAATTGATAGAAAAAGTAGAGCGCCAGTATCAAGCAAAGCAAAACCGAATAATGTTACGTTGATGGCCATCATTGTTGAATGATTTTTGTTGAAATGCAGATGTATTTTTGCTTAGATGATAGATATTTGTTTTTTAACCTTTAGCATATAGCGAAACAATGCATCTATAAATCAAATCAAGGATGGGAAAATGATTACGATGATTATGAATTCAAATGAAAAAAACCAAATATAATCGATTTGACGTTTGTTTCTTCGAAACAGAATGTCAACAAAAATCCTAACCAGTTTTGTCGGTGAACAAATAAATCCAAATCTGCGCGAATATTCAGCCATCTATTGGCCAGAATTGGCTAATTCCGTTGGAAAAAACCATGTGTTCAATTTATGAACTGAACACATACACGAATTTGAATCGATAAAATGACTAAAATTAATAACACAATTAATTCGAAAAATTCACGTAAGTAATCTTCTCTGAGTTAATATAATTTGATCATAAATTTTCGTTTTTAGCTCGTAAAATTAAGCAGTTAATTAAGAAATTTCGCACACGAAAAAGACATCGAATGCTATTTCGTCGGAATCAAAATAACCAATCGTTTCAAGATTTTAACGTTGAAGAAAGTACAGATGATTCACCTGTAAACACTGAAGGTTTGGTAGTTTATCCTACGGCTAAACCTGATATCAAATATATTTTGATAACCGATGTACAATCATCATTTGAATTACAGTCCGATCTTTGTGGCCATCTATCATTGATACCACTCAATAATTGGAGCTTTTATTGTGAAGGATATCTGGCCAAAGCCGGTGAAACTATAACTGTTTCCACATGTTTTCGAAACCGAATGTTCATTCGTTTCACTGACCTTAAAGACTTTAGCGAAAATAAAAACATCAATTCAATTGATCTTGATGAATTTGATTTTCTTGAACAACACCTCCCAAAAGTTTTGAATGGAGAATATATTTTGTTGAAATTCGAATCGTCTCCAAAGTCAATGGCCAAATATAGACTTGTACTTGAATATCTTTCGAAATCATCTAATGAAAAAGCCAGACAAATCTGTCGAAAAAAATTATCAACAATCAGAAACAAAAATTGTATGAATATTTTGTCAAAAATATCCGATATCGATTTCGAAAAATTTGCATTACATGTTTGTAAAATTTTCTATACTCTTGAAATCAGTGCTGAAGACGTAATCTTAGTGTATGGTCCGGGTAATTCTGGTAAAACATCATTGCTTCATCATCTTATAAATCATTATGTAAATGTTAATAAACAACCGGTTGCATATCTAGAATGTGATCCTGGACAACCGGAATTTGCTCCATGTGGAATACTTAGCCTGGTTGAGATTACTAAAAAAATATCAAATGCACTTGGCGATAAATTTCTATTTGATGAAAATTATGTTCTAAATGATGATGAACAAATTATATCAAAAATATTCGGAACAATTACACCATCGGGCGATTCTTTTGAATATATTTCTTTAATTTCTCAACTTTATCAATCGTATCGACAAATGAATGTAAAGAAAAAACGACCATTATTTATTAATACGATGGGTTGGATCGAGGAACTTGGTCTGGAATTATTGACAAATATTATTTCTATAGTACGACCTACTCACATAATTCGAATCGAGAATGATTTCCCATTATTATCCTTTTCCGATTCAGCTATGATAAACATCCAAAATCGAAACGAGCTAAAGCAAATATTAGATCAGCGCGAGTTTCAAGATCTATCACAATTGACAGAAATCAAAAATTCAATTGGCTATCAATTATGGGTCACTTCGTTTCCGCTTATTTCGAATTTTAAGCCATCAATATTCAGTGTTTCATATTTACGACGTGAAATCAATCAACTTTTATATCTTTGTTCGAATTTATGGCCAAAAATCTCATTCAAACCATTCTATTCATTACAACCAATTCAGATTCCTTTGAAAAATCTTTATCTACATTTCACAAACTATCCATCCAGACTACCGAAATCTATTTACAATCTTTTGAATGTTTCCTGGGTGTTTTTAGGAAGTCTGGATCCTAACGATGTAGATGAAAACACAAACTGTATTTCGTTATCAACAGAAGAACCATTCAATATTCAGCAAGCAGAAGTATTATTGGATCAAAAAAATAACGGCAATACGGCAATAAAAAATTTAAACAGACAAAAATCTTCATTAGACAAAAACATTAAATTATTACAACAATTGCCAAAAAGTTGTAAATGTTTTGGCTGTGGTATCATACGAAATGTCGATACAGTTCATTCATCAATCTTTGTGACAACATCATCTATGTCACATTTTCTCGCCAAATTTAATGCAGAAAAAAAGATTAATTTTTTAGTCATACCGAATCTGATTCCAATACCACCCGGTTTATTGGTTGAACAATTTCTATATCAAGATTCCTGTCATATACCATATGCATATATTCGTAGTTAATTGAAGTTTTCATCATTTTTTTAAATAAAATAAAAAAAATCAATCTATGGACATTCAAAAAAAAACTAAAAAAACTTCATAATCTCATTTATCTTTAATAATAATAATAAAGTAAAATCTGGTCTTTTTCCTTATTCAATTTTTCTTTTCACAATTTGGGTGATTAATCTTATATTAAGAAACAAAAATTGCGACGTTAGTTATATTATTTAAAAAAATTTGGTAGGTTTGTTACAGATTGTTACAAAACGCTAGAATATTGTCAATATGTGTGTTGGACCATAACCAATAAAAGGTGATGTAAGTAAACGACCAACAATATAATAATATCACCATGGATACTAAAAAAAACGCCAAACACACATGCACACATTTTATTACATTGTCATTATATATTCTGGTTTCTGGTTTTTCTTGTTATTGGAATCCTAGTTATCATATTTAAATGATAGTCGCGGTAGTGGTTGCATCAAAACCGAACATCAACACACATTGTCGATCTTTCTTTGTCTCTCATCGTCGTTATATGACTTTTCAATATAAATTTTATCCGAACTGTAACGTATTGGTCGATTGATTTCACTGTCTGTTCCTGTTCTGAGATGATTGTATTCAAGTTTTTTTCTGTATTTTCATCCCGTTTTGTCTGTGCGTATGTGTGTCTATTTATTTTCTTTAAAACTCGGTTATTTTACTTAAATCATTGCCGTTACATTCCGGAAAATTTTATATATCCCGTTTCTTTTATTCGTATATTTCTATTTTTTTGGTGTATCATCATTAAACATCAATGATCTATAGGATTCCAAAAAAGAAGATTGTCATGCGCGCTAAAATCATTATCTCTTCATCATATATTATGTTTGTTCCGTAATGATAAAAAGTTGGTCGAACGGTTATTTTGGTTACCGTTCATTCGTTCGTTTATTTATTCGGCTTGTCTTTGAGTTCAGGATTTTTCCTATATTTACTCTTCATTTATTCTATATATTTTTTGTTTATATAGATTGTTAGATAAATAGATGAACATGATTACGGCGCCATTAAATTTGTATATGCAATCTGAGTTATATACAATTTGAGTTTATAAAAAAGTATAACAATAAAAATGCTATACTAGCACATCTAGCCAAGTTTTGTTTTTCGATTCCAATTTTTCCTACAACTACTACTACGACTTTCTCACTTTCACTCCAAATATATATGTTGAAGAAGAATATTCTTGGCCGAATCGTATGTGGTGATGATCCGTAAGTTTAAACAGTAGTTGAATTATTCAAAAATATACGACGACTTTTTATCAAATCACATCATTGAAAAGTAGAATACTTTTTTGTTGTTGTTGTTGTTTATGGGCCATCATCGAATGAACATGGTTTATAGTATGTTTTTTATTTCGTTCGATTGATTCCTATTCATTCGATACATCCGCATGATTGCATCAAAATTATGATTATTATTATTCCGGTGTGAAAGATAGTGGTTCACTGTTTTATGTTTCTGTGTGTTCGTTCAATATATGTGATTATCATCATCATCATCATCATCAATTTTTTGTGATCATTGATAAAAAAAGAAAAAATTTTGTTTTTTTTTGTCTCTTTAAATTTTTTCTTTACATGCGTCTGGTATCATTGTCGGATTCTTAATTCAATGAATGCGCCTGTTCCAGGAAATGTTTTTTTTTCTTTAATGCAGAAATTTTGTGATACCACAATATTCTATATATTTATTTATTACCGACTATACTAGTCTTTACAAAAAAATTTTACTCAATCATCATCATCATCAACAGCATCATTATGGTCCAGTTAATCAGTTAGCCAAATAACATACAAAATAAAAAAATCGATCTTATTCACCCACATTCAACGTTATCAATACATATCATCGTTCAAGAGAAAAACATTGGCCAATCACAATGCACATATAAAAAGGCATTGATTAAAAAAATAAATCAAGTGGTCAAATCATGAATAATAATTATTGTTTATTGAAAATGATCGATTAATTTTCCTCGCTAATTTTGTGGATGAACAATTCATTTACATCATTTTATATTTTGTCTGTTCGGTATTGAATTGATTTATAATCCACATAACAACAACAATATTCTAGTCAAATAAAATGAAAATTTATTTATTTGCATCAATACTCAACTATTTTCGATAATGTCAATTTGATTGAAGTTTTTTCTTTTCTATCGGATGAATAATTGTATGTAAAACTTTTATTAGATTTTTCTTTTTGACTTAAATAATTTTTTTTACAGATTTTATTATTGCTTCGTAGGAAAATGATACAAATCAAAATTTCAATTCATTCACATTGATTCCTGAATTTGAAAATTTATTTTTTAATCATTTTCTGTTTTTTTTTGTGTCAAAACTAACACTTTGATTGTCGTTTGTTCAAGATATTTGATCAAATACAATTTTAAACACACACACACACGCCAACTCTTGTTAAATTAAATCATGTTTGCGTGTGTTTCATAGCTTAAGGTCAATTCAATTTAAAATTTTTGATTATTCTTTATCGGTTCATATCAACAATGATTTTAAAACAAAGAAAAACGATATTAGCAAACAAATTCGGTCACACCATAACGGGAACAAATATTACCGCATTAACGTTCGTGTTTATGTGATGAAAATTCTGGGCAAAACAAATTCAGTTATTCAGTAAATTTATGTTTGTGCGTTTTTTTTTGGCTAACAAAAGACTTGTGTGTTTGCCTAGATTCTGCGGTGAAAACAAAACGAATTCGTCTGGTGATGTCTCTTATCCATAGAATTTCTTTTTGTTTTTATTATTCACAACAATATTACGATGGATTACGAAAATTGATGGAAATCAGCTATTTTTTCTAGATGAATATTTTTACACATCGTTTTTGAATTGTGAGGTAGAAAACACCAAACAAAAACAAATCGGTGGATCAATTCAGCTATAATAGTGATCATTCTCATCAGCAAATAGCAACAAATGTCAATTTAGACAAATTGACGAACCATAAGAATCATTTACAGTTTAAAGAATTATTTCTTTTTGTTCATTTGTATGGTTGACTGCCAAATGTATTTGTTTGTGTGTGTTTATTCGTGTAAATTTTTGTTCACATCGTTTCTGTGTTTGTGTTTGCAATTATTGTTTGTATTTGATCTCAATTCATTGAAAATAATGTTTATTTATTCATTAAATCTCATTTCGAATCGATTTTTTAAAATTCTCAACTCAATATATTTTCTTCATTTTATTATACTCACATATTGAATGTTATTAATCAAATTTGATTTACAACTGACAACAAAGAATATTTATTTATGAAGATCCATATCCATAATTATCGAATGAATTACCTAAATATCAAATCAATACTATCGATAATTATGATTTTATGAATGTTCATCACTCAATTCCATTATATATTTTTTCGTTTTAATTGTTATCAAAATGTTATCTGTTGGATAATTGTTTTTTAGGTAAGATAATGATGAACGAAATATATTTTTTCAGTGAACTTCATTTTTATTCAAAAAACTTTTCATTATGAAAATTATGATATTAGGATTTAAAAAAAAATTATCATTTTTAAAAAATGGATGCCAATCAACAACAACCACAGCAACAACCGCAAGGACAACAACCACATCAATCGTTATTATCACCTGGACATGTTGTCAAAGAACGATGGCGTGTTATACGACGTATTGGTGGCGGTGGCTTTGGTGAAATATTCGAATGTTTAGATCTTCAAACTAATCAACATGTCGCACTGAAAGTAGAATCAACACGACAACAAAAACAGGTTTGTTAATCCGTTTTTTTCTGTTTTCATTTGTAGTTAACATCAATGACAGATTAAGAATATCAATCGGATAAAATGATTTTAAAAAATGGTAAATGATTAAGGAACTAGATTCATTTTATAAATCAACGAGATTTAGATGATAGATTTTTATTCACATTATTCATACAGATAGTGACAACCGTTCAACTTTTCATGAACTAAATACATCATCATAGAATCGCATTGCTTCGTAATTTACCTTTTACGGAGCAAAAGATACATCTTATGATAAGAATAAACCTACTATGAAAAGAAGTGATGATTGTTTGTTACTGATTTATCTTTAATGTTGTTTTTGTTGTTATTATTTGATGATTTCAACGTTTCAAAAAAAAAAATTCTTGTTAGTTAACTATTAAACCAAGAAAAAAAAATTGATGGCAATGAATGATCATCATCGTCATCAACACCATGTGAAAATTTTATTCAGAATTGAAATTTTTCATTTTTATTTTAAGATTATGTTTTTTTGTTGTTTTGTTTTGTTTTGTTCTGTTATACATTTAATACCGTCATCATTTAGATTCTAAATAGTATATTATTCAATGAATGAGTACATTCTATCGTCGATGATTCTATGATATAAACATATTTTTTTTGGCTTGTGAAAAAGATATGTTTATCATACAAAGTTTTTTCTTTTGATTAGATTCTAATGTTAGATTTTCTTATTGGGTTGAAAAAAACAGAATGAGAACCTCAGGAAAGCTTTTAAGAAAATGAGGGATAACGATGAAAAATTTTTGACAAAAACAAATGTTGATCGTTGTTGTTGTTGTTGTCGTTGATGATGACATTAGTTGATACATTAATGATGATAAATTTAAAATTTTTAAAATAATTTTTGTTGTTGTTGTTTGAATTATTTGATAACCATGATGTTATTAGGTACTCAAAATGGAGGTAGCTGTATTAAAAAAATTACAGAATACATCGGCCAATGTTTGTCGTTTTATTGGTTGTGGCCGTAATGAACGTTTCAATTATTGTGTTATGTCAATGTTGGGTAAAAATCTGGCCGAATTAAGACGTTCAGTTGTTCAGATTAATCAAAAACCTGCATTTAGTCTTTCAACCGCATTACGATTATGTCAACAAATTCTACAATCAATACAGGCTATACATTCAATTGGATTTCTTCATCGTGATAGTGAGTTTATTTTTATTTTTTTGTAACATTTTGTTTGTTTTTTATTTTTTTTCAAAAATGATTAATTCTTATTTTCTTCTATTAATTTTTTTAAAAACCTTTTTTTTGGCTCGACAACTGAAAAATATATCAATCAATTTCATTATAATATTTATAAATAAAAAGTCAAACCTTCAAATTTTGCAATGGGACGTAGTGAAACTAATTCCAAAAAAGTATACATGCTTGATTTTGGTCTCGCCCGTCAATATGTCATATCGAATACGAATGAAGTACGTCCACCCAGAATTGCGGCAGGTAATGTTTGAAAAGAAAAATATAACATTATGTTGACACTTTTTTTTGGCATTACTGATTGACTAAATTATGTTTGATGATAATAATAATTGAGTTTGTTTAAGCATTGCCAATGATTAAAAAGAATTTTTTTTTTGCTATAGGTTTCATCATTCTGTTGTTTATTCTATATAAATAAATTCCTGTTTTTTTTTGTCTTTTTTCTTTTTTTCCTTTTATTGTTATTACGGAACCTTTACAAAATGTATCTGGTGCCCTTATTTTTCGTTGACTGTGGTTTCATAATCCATTGATGATAGGCTTTCGTGGAACAGTGAGATATGCGTAAGTTATTTCCCATTTGACCATCACTGAACTTTCATTGTATATTTTTTTCATTCTAATTTTGATTATTTACTATTCTTTTGTTTATATAACCTGTCATTGGTGTTCTGGATTCTGTTTTATTTTTTTCCCTTTGTTTTCATCATTTTTTTCTTCATGGTGTAAACAAACATTGTCAACTAAATCAAACAATAAAATATATACAGGTCAATTAATGCACACAAAAATAAAGAAATGGGACGACATGATGATTTATGGTCATTATTCTATGTGCTCATCGAAATGGTCAATGGTTCACTACCTTGGCGTAAAATTAAAGACAAAGATTCGGTTGGTCTAATGAAATCAACATTTGATCATCGTCTATTGTTGAAACATTTACCTCAAGATTTTAAACAATTTTTAGAACACATTGAATCATTGACATATACGGATACACCCAATTATCAACTATTGTAAGTATAGACAAATTTTAACTAATAATAATTCTGGTTTAGGCATTTTTTAGATATGCAATTATAATAAGATTGTGCTTTTTTTAATTTTTTTTTGTATATTCTTTGTAATAAAGGAATTCAATATTCGAACGCAGCATTAAACGACGCAGTATCCGACCAGATGATCCTTATGATTGGGAATTAATTAGCCAAAATCGTGACACGAACAATGAAAATGAAATTTCTGTCGGATATTATTCAGACAATAATAATAAAGCGAAGAATAATTTTAATGCAAAGAATACTGAACGTGCAAATGATATTGTCAATTTAGCCAATTCTTCAAATGTTTTAGCTACATCTACTGGCAATTATACCGGAAATCATGTTGCGAATAATAACAATAATGGAGATGATGGTGTAAACACTAAATCGTTGGCCAATAAAATTAACAATTTAAATATTGGCACGACAATCACCAACAAAGATGTTAGTCTAGTCACACAGATGAACGCCTGTGCCGATGATCTTTCATTGAAGCCAAACACTACTGGTGATCTTGATAATAAACGCAACATTACACAATATTGTGTATCGTATGTATTTTTTTGCATAAAAAACGATGTCATATTAATTAATTTTTGATTGGATTTTTTCAATTATAGTAATATGTGGGAAAAGAGTGTTGCTAATGATGAAAACGAATGTAATGATGATCAAGAAGAAGATTGTGATGATCAACCCGGAATCGGTACCGGAATACATAAACCAACATCATCTTCTTGTGGTGATCCAATACAACCGCAGCCATCTTTGTCAAATAATAATAATAATAATGATAATGAATTACAAAAACAACATCAACAATCGGCTTCTTCATCAAATATAAATCAGCAACAGAAACGGCTTTCGTCAACGTTATTTTATGATACAAGTGGACAAAATAATAATAATATGCAAAGATCATCATTGAATAATAATCCATTTATCAATATTCATAATCAAGCAATTGCTCAACATTTATCGACTTCCAATAAGTTGATTGATAAAATCATTGATTCTAAACCCAGTGATGCTGTTGCTGATGGTGATAGTGATAATAGTAATAATAGAAAATTCGTCGCAAACAACCACGACAATTCGACAAATCGTTTGCCTTATAATCATTATTCTCATAATCATCATCAACAACAACAAACACAAAATTATTCCAAGAATGGTTACAATGGCGATAATGGTTGCTGTGTTGATCATCATCATCATCATCAGCATCAATATCATTTAAATGATGTACATCATTTTAGTGGTGAAAATCCAGCTGATGTACAAAATTATTGCCATCCGGCCATATCATCCATAAAACCATCAAATACTTATCCAATTATTAAAGATTTAAATAAATTAAGATCGATGAGTTTACCATCTATGATTGTTGGCCCAAATCTTGACGATGAGGATGAGGAAGATGAGGAAGAAAAACCAAATGAAATCAATACTAATATGATGGATTATGACAAATCTGATAAAAAATTTGATGATGATGATCATAATGCCGGTAGCGGTAATGGAGGTGGTTATAGTGCTAATGAAAATTATCATCATTACTACCATCATCATCATCAACAACATATTAGCTATCAACAACATAGACAAACATCGCCATACACTAATAAAGGACAATATTTTGATAATATTCAATCAAATCATATTAATAATAATATTATCACTAGCAACCAACAAAGTCATTCAAATATTCCAAAAATATATATTCAAAGGCAACGAATCAAAACTTTATTGGATAGTAAAGAATCTTCGACATCGACAATATCATCTCAAAATCATCATGCTCAAACGAGTAGAAATTCTAGTAGTGAATCAAATAATAATGTTGGTGAAGAAGTTGATTCAAAAATTATAATTTCCGAAAATGAAGATGAACAAGAATCATCCGTTCAACAGCAAAAAACACCTCCATCACCGCCACCTAGACGAATCGTTGTTAAACCAAACAATGCAATTGTTAGACATATCATTGAAACCAAAAAAGAAAGTGAACAAGTCGACAAAGTGAAAGTCGATGAAAGTGATGAACAGGAAGCAAGTGAAGTCGATGATGATGAAGAAGAAACACAGGTTAAAGTAGTGTTAAAAGTAAAAAACAATGTTATCATCAATCATCGTCATCATAATCGTGATAATCAACAACGAACATCACTGACTGGTGGTGAGGAGGTGAATGGAAATATTCCACAATTATCAACTCAATCGTCAATATTCAAACCGGGGATTGAATCCTCTACATCTAAACCAAATAACATTGGCAATAATTCAATTTGTTCATACACATCAAATGGCAATGTTGTGTCACGAGCAAATATTGTCGTCAGACAACCGACTCATCAATCGCAACAACAAACATCTCAACAAATGCATAATTGTGATCAACAATTTTACTCAAAAAATTATCATCATCAAGAAAATAAAAATAATGATAATAATGATGATAATAAACAATCTCGATCATCCGGTTCATCAAGTAGTTATGTATACTATTACACAACCGATAGTAAGAATTCAAGTTCGGCTAATCAACAATCGTTTGCTCTCAACAACAATAACAATGTTGTTGATAAGGAACGAAATGGCAAAATTTCATCGTTGACTAATAATAGAACATCGACATCATCATCATCATCATCGATATCATCAAAACATATATCCAATAATAATGTTGCTGGTGGTTCCATTAGTTATTCAAGTATTAATAATAATCATAATCATCAAATTCATAATCAAAAGCAGGATCGATTATCAAGTTCAAGATATGATGATTGTCTAAGCCAACAACAACAACAACAATCGAATCGAGATTATGTTCCAATGTCTCAAGGCGAAAGTAGTAATAGTAATAATAGTAGTTCAACAACGTCAAACACTACGAGCTCATCATCTTCATCATCGACCAGTCAAAATTCTAATAATGTTGATAATACTGGTGATATGTCCGGTAATAATGTGCCTGGAGGTGCTAATTTTTATAAAAGAATTCCGATTTCCGAACGTGATAATAATAATGATAATATCATGGTAGATACTAGTAATCATAGTCATCATAGTAGTCAAAATTTAACAACAAATGGATTGGAAACACCTTCCGGATCACCACCACCATTAGTTGAAGTGGTTTCGGTACGCCGGAAACGTTTTTTTATTAAATAAAAAAAACGGATATTTTTCCTTAATGAGAAATTTGGCCAAATAGGAAAAAACTGAAAAAAATTAATCAATTTTTTTAGTAATTTTAACAAGAAAAAACACTGTATAATATCAATCAATCGAGAATTATATCAACCACTATGAATTGAATAATTTTCAACAACAATCAATTAAAAAATTTTGAAGTGATTAAAACGAAAAAAAAAATTGAAATTGTTGAAAAAAATGAATTTCTGTGAAAACAATTTGACTGAAAATAAAACCACATCCTCCGCGAATATCCTTATACACCCACACACCATTTGTGCAAAATGTTCATACACATCGCTCTCACAACAACAACAATCATTGTTAAAACGAAAATAAAATCTAGCCAAAATACAATGAAAATATCGGGAAAATATTCTTGACAAATTTATTTTGATTGTTTTTTTTCAGTTCCAAAAAATTTATTATCAATTTATTAGAATCAGTTTTTGTTTTCATTAAGTTTCAGTTTTTTCCCAATTATTTTCTTTAGGAATTGCAATTTTTTATTTTCTCCGTGATTCTCCATTAAAATTAAAAAATACGTAAACATTACACAACACATTCATGCATTATTTGTTATATTTTGTTTTTATCATTTCAATTTGAATTGTTTTGTTTTTTTTGTACTATACATTATCATTATTATTATTATTATTGTAATCACTCATTACTATCCTCACGATCGACAGCAATGAAAACCAAAATAAATAAATTAAAAAAAATCCCTTTAATTTTATTCATTAAATTTATTGTCTTCATAAAAATAACCAAATATTTTCTTTTCATTTAATCCATTCATACACTTGTTTTTCATTATCGAAAATGGTATTTGAAAATTAATGGAATTAAAATCAATCAAATCCCGGTTTGACCATCTAAGGTTTGTGTAACTAAAAGATAAACTATGTTTATGATTAAAAGTTTAACTGCCAGATGTTTTTGAATGAACGAAAACTATTCAGCCATTCTGAATCAATGTGCAATATTCGTATGAAATCTGGTGATGATAATTTTTGGCCATGATAATGTTGAATGTCGTTTTGATGATATGACATTATAAATATCATGATTACACATAAGGATATACTTGAACAATATGTTTGTTCATGTTAATCTTTTATCTTATGCTTTTAAGATAATCAAATGTTTGCCCATATTGATTATTTCAATCAATATATATTCGATTTGATAAATGATGAACATTTAAAGTCTATTGATAGCAAAGTATTTATATCTTGTTCACGTAGTCTTGGAAATTTTTGTTTGTTTTTATTGTCAATGTTATTTTCGATGATGTTACTTTGCTATTTCGAAACCAAATTTTCATTTAAATCCAATCGATCAAAGACTTTCATTATATTTGCCTTCATTTTTTTACATTGACTTAATGACCATCATTTTTGAAAATAAAATAATGAATCAATTGTTGAATTTGGTTTTTCTACTATCTTCATTGGTCATTTCAACTAATTGTAACCTGAATAATAATACAACTTCATCGGTGATAGCTACAACAGTTAAAACAACATCAGAAATTATATCTGTCGATGAGCTTGTTGATCAGATTATTAAAAATCAAAGTAATATTACTGTTATAACTAATCATAATGTAAAAAATTCTACTATTGAAGATGATCGTGATGGAAATCCTGATCTAATCAATGTTCTAAGTTTTCTACCACCGGATTTTATGAACGCTCAATTTCGTCGAAATGGTGGCTACATTGTACATATTTTAGTATTCTGTTATCTATGTTTTGTTTTAACATTGGTCATTGATTCATATTTTGTGCCATCATTACAAATGTTCAACATTATTTATGGATTATCACTAAATATTATCGGCTCAACATTGATGGTGTTTGGAACATCATTACCGGAATTGTTTGCATCAATAATTTCTGCGTTTATTGGTGGAAAATCAATCGGTACCGCTACAATTGTCGTATCAAGTCTATTCAATTTATTGGCTATTCCGGGCATCTGTGGCCTGATAGTATTGACCCCTCGAACGTTTTCATTTATATGTATAAATGCATGGCCAGTACGACGAGAAATTATTTTTTATTCAATTACAATTGTTATATTCATTCTGAGCATCAAAGATGATTCGATCGATTGTATAGAATCACTGATATTCATTTTTATCTACACCGTATATATGCTATGCCTTTATCTTTGGTCACATTTTGAGATAATTCAGCAACAACAAAATAGGCGGAAATTTTTTCACTCCAAAGATCGACCTTGGCTTAAATATACACACTATCTACAACAATCGAAAATCAATATGAAACCAGCAATGAAAAAATTTACGATTTCCAATCCTCGACAGCCGTCCACAAGTGCCGACCAAGAAAACAATGGTGAAAGTAGCTCAAAAATTTATCGCGGAACTTTTCCACGGGATAAATTTTTAAAATCAGCTTTGATACCATTTCGATGGCTATTTTCAATAACGATTCCTCCAGCTAACCGACGAACATTTATCGCAACATATATCCTGTCAAGCGTTTGGATTGTGGCCATAACCTATTTTCTTATGTGGATGATTTCGATCATAAGCAAAGCTATACATTTCACACATTCAAGTTCAGTGTTAAACATGTTAGCACTTGGTAATATAACAAAAATGATATCTTCAATTATTGTCATCAAACGATTAAACTCAGTCGATATGGCCATATGTCATGTAATTGGTTCGAATATTTTCAATATTCTTATTTGTCTTGGTTTACCATGGTTTCTCAAGATTTTAATATTAACCGTAAAAGAAGGTACAACATTGGAAAAATTACAAGCCTTTACAATCGATGTTGATTATCGATTATTCGAATATGTTGCAATATCGTTAACAATATTATTACTAATATTCATATTAATATTCTACTTAAGTAATTGGAAATTATCAATCAGATCTAGCTATTCATTCACAATATTATACATTTTTTTCCTTGTATGTTTACTCATATTTGATCAATATATTTCGATTGTTTAAACGTATTGATTTTTAATTTACAATTTATCAAACTTGAATTCAAAATTATAATAATTATGATGTGTTATACAATTGTTGTTGTATTGTCAAAAATTATTATTTAAAAAAACGAAGTATGTCGTTTCAATAAAGTTGTGTAATGGATATTTATTTATTTTGTTATATAAATGATGATGATTATGGAATTAAACAATGATATTATTCAAGTATTTGATATTTATGATGATATTTGGATAGATAATTGCAAATAATAGTTTCGAATGTTTAAAGAAAAGAAAACAAAAATCATGAGAGATCAAAAAGTTCGACGAATAATTGCCCTGCATTTTGTGGATTAAGGTCCATATAGATACGAACAATATCTTCCGATAAATGAAATAGTTCTTCAAGACGATACATTAATGTTATAAATGATGTTTTAGCTGCACATGAATCACCATCATGTTTAACCTGAAGATAACGGCGTAGTAAATAACAATAGTTGAGAAATTCTTCACTGTTATCACAAATAAAAATATTATTAATCAGTTAATATTTTAATGTTAATTGTTATTGTACTTACTGAACAATATTAGACACGGAAACTGTTGCTCTTGATGGCCGGAATAGGATTATGACTGTAAGCTATATGAATAAAAAAATAAGGTTAAATAATTTAAAAAAAACATTCGAACATACCAAATCGGCAATAATATTATCATTACGGAATTCTGATTGATATTTAATGGCAAACTCTTTATGTGAGAGAAAATTAATTTGAGCAGCAGTAAGTACTTCCATCGAAACCAATGAAAGTCCTTTGTTTTGATCATCAACGAAATACCAAAAATTATTTTCAATATTGAAATTAGTTGTAGCACGAATGCAAAACATCTCAATTATGGAACTTTTAAGCAAAGCTATTTTATCAACTTGTGATAGACGATTAAAAGAGCTCAATTTATTCGACATTTGTATCAACCGTCGTATAGCGGCTTCGGTCACTTGAACAGCATCTGTCAAATGATGTGTATTTGTATTGACAATTTGTTCATATGGATTTCGAAGCAAAAGACAGGCCTTATTCAATTCTTCAAGACGTTCATTTTCAATCGGATATAATGTTTTACATTTTTCAATTTCCAAAAATTCTTTGAAACCAGGTATTCGTTTTTCTGCACTTGAATGTTCTGCTTGTTTATTGATCAATGATTCAAATACTTGCCGTCGTAATGGTATATCACACATGTTCAGTTTTGAAACAGCAAACACAATCGATTCTTTAATATGATTGTTTCCTTTTTTTATTTGATCTAAAGATGAATTTAATCCGCAATAATTTGGAGAATTAGATTCACTAGGATTTTTCGATGATGAACTATTAGGACCATATGATGTACTTGGTGAATTACTATGAGTTGTGGCTGGAGTTGAATTATCTCCAATGCCAGTAAAATCATTATACATTGTTTCAGCAGTAGGCAAAACAGTGTTTAAATTTACACTGTTGGGATTTAGATTGTGAATCTCCATCGAATTCATGGATAAATTTTGCATTCCTAATTAAAAAATAAAAGAAAATCAATGTTTTTGAACGAGTATGATGATCACACGATCAAGATTTAATGCAATAATAGATTGTATTTCTAATGAGGGTGAAGATACAGTAAAGAAGTGATAACGTTAGAGCAGATAGCTTATTAGTTTAAATGATTGATGTTTTTTTTGAATATATTGTTTTGAAACAATATTTAAACATTATCTATATCATAAAAAATCGATTAAGTTACCCATTGAGTTGATTTCCATATTTTTACTGTTAGATGATTCAAATGAATCTGAGGTATCATAGGTTTGTTGATGGTAGATGTTTGGATTATATGATGTAGTTGTTTCCTGTGACGTATTCACGGATTTTTCATGAGTAAATTGATTTATTGAAAAGTTTGACGGTGAATGTGTGGAATCCATTGTCGTCATAGATGCTGATTATTATTATAAAAGTTGTTTTTTCCTCTTATTGAATGCCGTTATATAATTTTTTTTCTTGTTTATATTTGTGTTTTACTTTTCATTCAATGTAAACGGATGGAAAAGGATGACGCCATGGTATCAAATAGAAACAAATAGAACAAAACAAATAGATTGATTTTTATGAATTATATGAACGAATGAAGCAATCATATTATTCTATAGAATTAGCCGTGTATCATGCTATATTAAAGTAAAATCTCCAGACAGCCACCATATTGAATCAATTGAACAAGAATTGTGAAAAACAAATTAAACAGGTGAATCAAGTATGCGTGAGTAAGGTGACGTTATTGCAAGCATCAATTTGTCTGTTTTTTCAGCTTGGAATGAAATATTCATGTGACAAGATCAAGATATAGAATTTTTTTTTTGATAGATGTATCAATGAAAGATAGCCACATCACATCTCGTTGGCTTTGGATTGGATGAAAACAAATTCTTATTTGAATACATTCTATATGAAGGGAAATCGAGTAACATGAAAATATCAAAACAACAACAACAACAACAAGTTTTATTCAAGGCTTTTTAATTTAGTTAATGGGTATTTTGTGATAAAATTGCCAGTGTATGTTAACAATCAATCATATTTTGAAATATTAAGAAGAAAAACAAAAAAATAATAACAATGTCTGATGATTATGATTTGGTTGCCCGAGGATCATTAAAATTAAAACGAAAAAACAACAATCCACTTGGGCTTAGCAAAAAAGATAGAAAAATAAAAAAGAATAAAAACAAAGTGAAAGGTCAAGATTTGGAAGCAATCATCGAAACAGTCAAATCATCATCATCAACAACTCAAGCGATTATCGATAGTGATTCCAATTCGAATGAACCTATTGTTAAACAACATGATCAACAATCATCATCGTTCGATCCTAATGGTTGGATGACAGAAGCACAGAAAAAATTTTTAGCACAACAAGAAAAACGACAATTAGCACGAGTAATGTCAAAAGCATCAAAAACGCATAAACAACGTGTTGAAGAATTTAATAGCCATCTGGAAAATCTTAGTGAACATTATGATATACCAAAAGTTAGCTGGACAAAATAATCATGATCATGTAAAAATTATCAATTTTTTAACAATTCTATTATCGTATTTTACATCGTTCATTCAATTCAATTTGTTACAAATAATCATAAAGTAAATCAGGTTTTTCAATAAATGTTATAATAATCGAAGTGATTAATGAAAAACATGCGGCCAATAATATGTTGTTACGTGAAGCAACGATGAAAATGATGATCATTGCAATTAAATAAAAAACATATCGTATGTATTTAACGTATCGTTTCCATAATTGTCCAATACTGTATTGATCATTTCGGATACAATCATTATTGATCACAGATCTTTTATAACCAGATGAACATTTGATGCACTAATATTGTAAAATTTTGTAAAATAAAGAAATTAAAAAAAAATGATCAAGATCCAGATTAAAATTTTCTATTTTTCTTATTACCGAATTGGATCCATGTCCAGTACAGCCTTCACAGGATTCATGGCAAGCTTTTTTTCAAATTAGTATAATGGATGAAAAAAATAAAATAAAATGAAACGATTAATTAACAACAATAAAAGTTAATAAATTTATTATTTCATGTCAGTGATTTTTTGTTAAATTTTAGAATCTAAAAATCTATTAATAAATGATTGCCAAGCTATCTGATTAGGTTCACAGTATCCATGATAATAATGTAGCAAACACTTACGATAACATTTATATGAGCCTTGTGTATTCATACAATATGTTTGAAATTTGCACGGATTCAATTCAACATCGGATACATTACATTCATCGATATCGATACATCCTTTATCATTATCACGAAAATATCCAGTACGACAAACATGACAGCCTTGTGGTCCAAGTGAATGACATGATGAGGCACATGATTGATCACAACGAATGCATTGTTCAGGAATGTTTTGAATTTTTTCCTCATAATTCATTTCAATAATGCCAATAGCTAAATAATTTGATGAACATTTTTCACAGAATTCACCATCGAATCCAATATGACAGATACAATTTCCTTGACCTTTTCTTGTGCCATTACCTGAACAATATCCACGATTATAGCAAACATTATTCGGATATCCATGACATGGTTGACAATCGGCACCAAAATGTCCATCTGGGCAACAAGCTTGACTAATTTGATTGCATAAATATTCATACAATGTGCTACCCTCTTCCAAATGATCTTTTCGTTCTTGTTTGCGATTCTTTAAAAACCAATCTTCAATTTCACTTTCATAATGTTCAGCAAAACTATGGCATTGATCTTTTCCCGATTTCACATCATTGCAAAGATTTTCTTGTATTTCGGTCAATCGTATTTCACTATCAGCATAATTATTCAATTTATTTTCCTCCCAATGAGCATCACCACCTTCATGTTTTCCACGAGCTGTATGTTTCAGACCCTGATAAAAAATATCGATTTTTATATGGATAGAATAACAAACGATAATACACATACCTTTTTAAAAGATTTGACCAATAATTTACATCGTTGACACGAATCTAATGTTGTTTCATCTTTTTGTTGTAAATAGGCATCGATATGATGACATTCGAATAAAAATATCAACAGAATGAGTGATAAAAATGTAATAAATTTGACAAGATTTCTTTGGTATTTTGTACACGTCACATAAGAGCCGTATTTTGAATTGGAAAATTGAAAAAACAATTCGCAACTTTTGACGACCATCATATAAATGATCGAAAATGGGTTTGTAAATGAGCCAATAATACGATAATCAAATTTGTTTGTAAAAATGTAAAGAATTTTTACGATAAAAAAAACGATATGTAGCCGGTATGTAAAATTTCGTGTGAACGACCAAATATTATAAAGACGAACAATCGACATGGAATGTTTGAATGGATCCACAATCCATCAAACAAAACAAGTGGAAAAAAATTTCGATCATTGATCCTTCAATTTTTTTTGTTATTCTCGTCAATGGACAAAGAATTTGATTGTTGTTCGAGATGGTAATGAAATTGTCAGCCAAATATAGATTGGCCACACTGGCTTTTGAATCATCCACCACTCAAAATGATATGTTTGGTGCAAATGGTTTACCATTGACCCCACCGTCCATCACGATGGTCGGTAATTTTCATTCCTTTGTTCAAAGTTTTAATACTGCCACTACATTAACGCCTTATTTGACACATTATCTGGATTGTATACGTAGTAAAAATGGTATGTCTTTCCCTTTTTTCAAATTCAATCTAATTGTTTAAATATTCTTCAAAAACTGAATTAGAACGAATTACATTGGTATTTGAACACTATGCCTCATGTACAGCCGATGATTCTTTGTCTACTGAAAATTTGCAATCAATTTTACAATGTGGCCTATATGGATTATATCATTTACATTATGTGATTGGTGCCGTTCATGGTCTTATATCTCCAAGTGCATTCTTGACGACAAATGACTCGAAAACTCCTTACAAACTAACACATTGGGCTGTTAACATCATTACTGACATGGGTCGGCTTTGTCAAACACAAATCTATCCGGGTAGGCGTTATTTATAATTTATAAAATCATACTTAATTACCTTGAATTGCCATTAGATGATATTCGTTTCATAGCTCCGGAGCAATGTCTATTATTGAAAGCGACAAAGAAAAGCGATATCTGGTCGTTTGGTTTATCAATATTATACTTAATGTTTCCAAATCAGCGTCAAAATTTTCCTGACAATCCATTAGAATTTATTGATGATGACTTGAATAGAATAATAACAAAACTTGGCATTGAAATTCAAGATTTGTCGGAAAAATGGATGATTTTTTTCCAATCTACTTTAAATTGTAATCCTAATGAACGTTCATCGATCAAAGAATTGATTAAAATAATGGCCATACCAGAGCCAAAGTATTATACAACATATGAAAAATTTATCACTACTAAATCTTATCAAAATGTGAATGAAATAAATGATGAAGAATTTTTTAAGATTAGTAATTTTATCAATATACATGAATTCTATTATCTGTGGTCGATCGCATATCCATCCAAAGAAACTGATAAAGAAGAGCAAAAAATTCCGTCAATACTCTCATTACCTAAGCTAGTCATATTGGAAAATGAATGTTCGAATCAAGAAAACTGTGATAGTAGTAATTATAATAGAACAATCACTGATGATGAAAACAATTTAATTGACAAAATTATGGCCATCGATTTGGATAGCAATTGGAAAATGGTCCGATTACCTTCAAACTGTGATTTCAAATTATTACCAGTTGATACTATAAATCAACGTCTCCTCAAAATATCTAGCGAAATTTTCTCTCCGTTACTTATTTCTGATGCTAATCTGTTCAATAAAAGACCAGAATCTAAACAAAGTTGTGAATCACTACCGTTGCCCATCCGCGAAATGGATTTCGATTATCAATGTGAACGTCTTTTTTTGTTCAAAGCTCTATTGAATGGCTATCCTTTTTTGCGAAATCAATTGATAACTGAATCAAAAACTGATATTTGTCCTCATTATCGTGCTCAAATCTGGAGTTCATTACTCAACGTTCGTTGGAAAGATAAATTATTATTTGATCAAATTGATAAAATTAGCAAAACAACAACCGATCGGCAAATTGCTGTAGATATACCTCGTTGTCATCAATACAATGATCTGTTAGCATCGGCTGAAGGACATCGAAAATTAACTCGAATACTAAAAGCATGGCTTGCACATAATGAATCTAATGGTGAAGTATATTGGCAAGGTCTTGATTCGTTAGCCGCACCTTTTGTAATATTAAATTTCAACAATGAATCACAAGCATTTGCTTGTTTTGATCATTTTGTTCGTAAATATTTAAATGGATTTTTCAAGAAAGATAATTCATCAGCAATACAAGAATATTTGGCCCTTTTTCAGGTGATAATCGCCTTTCATGATCCAATGCTCAGCAATCATTTAGCATCACTGAAATTTGTCCCAGATTTATATGCCATTTCATGGTTCCTGACAATGTTCACTCATATATTACCACTTTATCAGATTTTTCAGCTTTGGGACACATTAATCCTAGGTAAGTTATTACATTAATACTTGTTATTACACATGATAAGGAGATTTTGTTATTTGTTTTCTCATTATTAATGTCGCATAATTTTTCCCATTATAGGAAATGAATCCTTCCCTTTGTTTATTGGTTTGGCCATTCTTCATCAGTTACGTGATCGTATATCGGATTTTACATTCAACGATTGCATCCTAATATTTAGTGATTTGCCACAAATTGACATTGATCGATGTGTGAGAAATTCGATAAAATTTTTCTGTTCAACGCCTAAATCGATTAGTAGACGAAATTTGTGGGAAATACAGGCACTTAAAAAGTATCCACGATTGCCAAGGATCAATATTGAAGATCTCACCACATTGGTTGATCGGCTTAATCTATCGAATTGCACAGCATCCACCACAGCGGTAGCTTTCGATCAACAGCAATTGTGTTCGGATTGTGGTCGTAACACCCAACTGGTTCTGATTGATTGCCGTTCAAAAGAAGACATTCAAAAGTACGGTGGTACCCTTATCAATTCAGTTCGATATGAAGATTTCTATCAAGAATTGCAAAAAGAATTGACCAATGTTAATAAAACTAACCGGCCAGCCGCTAAATGTCATTATCAACAACCACATGGTAAACATAATTTAATTGTCGTCATCGATTCAATTGAAAAAACTTTAGAATTGATTGAAAATTTTTCCATTCCCCGTGTTTGCTATCTGGATTTATCATCATCAGATCTGGGAAACATTCCAAAATGTTTACTAATTCAATAATCACTTATATCATCAAAATATACATGTTATTTTGGGTCAGGCTTTAATTGAAGAATTGAATAAAAACATTATATTTTATTGATTAAAATTTTTAAAAAATATTAATTTTCATAAAATTGACTCATTTAATGTAAAATCTAACCGATATGAATAATGAATATAAATTGTTGATGTTTGTGAATCGTAACCATATTTTGAAGCTGTTATTCTGTATTGGCGTTCAGGTGTTAAGAGACGCCAATAATCCCCAGTTTTATAAGTTGTAATATTTTTATCAATTCCATCGACAGAAATGATAGCAGATTCGATCGGTTGACCATGATTATCATAAACAAAACCATGTACACCACTATAGGTAGAATTGATTAGATTTAATAATGAATTTTTATGTTGTTGCCAATAAGTTTCTAGTTCATTGCTTAGTGGATATTTTTTACAACCAACTTCAATAGTCAATTCAAAACAATTCGCATGTATATAGTTCCAATCTTGCATTCCACCGGCAACTGGATACCATTTTGCACCATTTGTTATACCTTGTGAGAAATAATCCACTGTATTATCACATGAATCAAGACAACGTCCATCATTGTTATACATATATTGATGACTCTATTTAAAAATATAAAATATTTCGAATGAATTTTCGTAATAATTCTTTGTTTTTCATTCTTGACTTACCTTGGAATAGATTAAAGACAAATGACGAAAAACATCATCATCCGGACACTTTGTTTCATTTTTAACCATTTCTTTATTATTATCAAAGGGATAATTAACGACTAAAGAACCACCATGAAATGATGCAGATAAAACAAATGGATATTGTTTGGTCCATTTCATAACTATTTCAGTCTCGATTTCTTGTTTTTTATTGTTATCATTATTTACAAATTGATCGGGAAAATTACGATTTAAATCTCTTCCATTAGCATTATAACGACCTACAGTACCCATACAATCGCCTTCGTTTGCATTTTCATAACCATCAGGATTGATTGTTGGCGCGATATGAATACGTACATTATCAACTAATGATCTTGTCGATGAATTTGAATGATATGTTGACAAAAGATGATCAATCAAATGTAATAATAATTCACGACCAACTACTTCATTACCATGAATATTGCCGATTAGTTTGATTTCAGCTTCACCTGGTTCATGAACACCAGGTTGATCACTGATTTCTAATACTTTTATCGGTTTATTTCGATTCGAATAGCCAATTGTATATAAACGTGTTAATTTTGGATAATATTTAGAATAAGTATCAAGAATTGAATAAATTTCATTATTATTATGATGTTGGTGGCTAATATTTGGTCGATCTGGATAAAACCAATTGGTATGTTTAACCATGAAATAATTAAGAATAATACCAAGTGTTAAAAGCGAAATTAAAATTGCGAGAAAAATCAATATTCCAATAAGAATTTTACGTGCTGGAATATGAAAAAGAATTTTATAACCATTCATAGTTTGTTGTTGTTGTTCATTAGAAATTGATTGATTGAATGATTTACTAGCGATATAATGAATATTATTATCATCATCATCATCACCAGTATTGCCATCAAAATTTGTCATCGAAACATCATAACTGGTCGCCATTGAATTTTGGATTTATAATGGATTTTTTCTATTAATTTGATTGTGAATTGTATGTCGTGCAGACAAAGACATGACAAAATTCAATACAAAACAAATCAAGCAAATAAATAATTATCACGAAATATGGTCTTTATTATCCACCAGGCAAATTAATGATGAGCATGGTTATGGTTATGATTAGATTGAACTTGAAATCATCATAATCATCATCATCAATAAATTTTTGTTGTCATATTATTTTGATATATAAACACAAACGATAAACAGTGAACATTCAAAAAGAAAATATAAAAGCTAAAGAAACTCTTAAAATATATGAAATGATTTCGGTTTGTTTGAAATCAAATCGAACAAATAAAAATGTTCGAAAATAAAAATTTATTTATAACATTTCGTAAATCGATGATGAATTATGAAAATATTGCCATAATAAAAAGAAATCGGTAAAGTTCAATATATTATCAAGAGGATAATATACAAAATATTGTTTAATATTTACTATAGCTAACCTAACTAACACCTACAGATATTGAATTTATTGTACGTGATCAATACATCGACATCCTTAATTATTATTGAATTGTATAAATTGACAATCATTCATCATCATCAATCAGGTATAAACACCTACGCATTTGAACAAAAGAGAGAAAAAACAATCAAAATGATAAAACATATATTTGCACGCGACAAGTTTTGCTGATGATGAACAAAAATAAATAAATAAACGAATGAAAAAAATCGTATCAAACAAAATCTGATTATTTAGCCATTACGGTGTGTTGTATGTTTGCCGAAATGGCATTAAATCATAACAGATAAAGAATGTTTAATTTAATCATTTGATTAATCATGTTAAATGATCAAAAACAAAAACTAAAAGGTATATTGCAAATAGTTATTATAATTCAATTTGTATCCTCAGATGATCATTATAATCATTATCATCATCATCATCATTAATTGAATAGGATTGAACATTTATAATGATTATCATAACTGGTTCAAATATTATGATTTGTTGTTGTCCAATTTTTTTATGTAGTCATGATCATACAGTGGCAAGACCATCCATTTTATGATCTTTATTTTTTTCAAACATCGACTGATTTTTTGCTGTTGTTTGAAAACAGCATAGAGAAATTTCAATCAATTTATATGTGTTGTACAATATAATTAAAGACTAATTATAAATCATTGGATCATCATCATCATTAGCAGCTATTAGCTATTATGAAGGGGAACAAAAAATGTATGTAGGTAATCGATTGATTCTATTTAATCGATCGATTACATACAAGTTTTTTTTCTCTGTTTATAACTATTGGCTAGTTAAAGAAAAAAAATCGATTCAAGACACGTTTAAGCGTTTAGTTAATTTGTTTCACGCCCGGTTTAAATTATTATTATTTATTAACTGATCTGCAAACGAACACTGTAGTAAAAAATATTGATTAATTGAACACTACCAACTTGATTCGATTAGAATTTGTCTGAATAAAATTGATGTTGGGTGTGATGATTCGCCCACACAAAAATTGAATAGCTGAATTTAATTTCCACGACCAACATTTATTATGCTGATAATTACAAGTGAAACATTTTCAATTTATAATTCGTGAACATCAAAAAAATTAGACTTTTTTCTCCAGTACCTTGATTCTGATAAATTTAATCAAATCAATGTGATAATAATGATGATGAAGATAATTAGATTCATTTTTTGATACTTTTGAAAAAGTGGTCAACGAATAAAATTCAATTTTTTTTGAAAATCAATCAAAAACAAAAAAGTAAATTTTAAAAGTTTGAACGTTGTGTTTACCTAAACCTAGCAATTATTTATTGGACAAGTGTTTGAAAATTGATTGATCATTTTTTTCTCTTTCACATTCATTCATTCATTTATTCAATGGCTATTATCTGTTTATGTTCACTATTTTTGAAAATGTTCAAACTTAACTTGATGATTTGATTTTCTGTATTTTCATATAAATTAATGATCAATGTTAAACAATTAATTCACTAATTGATTAAAAATAGTACAGGTAATAATGATAAGCTATAATTATTTTTCACTTTATTTCCATCATCATTTATCGTTATTTTTTCATTGTTGTTGCTTAATCTAAAATTGATATTTGAAAATTCATAATGATCATTAACAATTTGTTCATGAATGAATGTTAAATAAAATGAATCAATCATTTGTTCATTCATTTCCGGAATTATTATTTTTGAAAAATTTAAGGCTAATTTAAATTGAATTTAATCATGAAATTCTTGATTATACGAATGGTGAATTTAATGAAATATCAATTATTAGAATACGAGAAAAAATCATTTATAAACGAAACGAAAAAAAAAACAAATTGTTAATTTTATCCTAAACACATTTCTTTTCAAATAAAAAATTTTTGTTATTTATTCATTTGATCAATCTAAATATAATTTGTTTGTGTCAACCAAAATGAAAATGTACACGATTTCTCAATTACGTTGATTATTAACACTGGAATAAAAACAAAAACAAAACAACAGATGAAATATTTTTTGACGGTCAATAATGATAATCAATAATGACTACATTGAAGAAAAAAAATAATTATGATTACTTGAACAAATAAACAAACAGCATGTTTCATTTGAAATTGATCAGTATCAACATGTCTTGATGATGGTGATGAACATGATGATGATGATGATCATAATAATCAATAACAAGCTAGAGAAAAAAAAAGAAAAACAAAAAACAAATCACCATTACGGCCTAGCATGCTGGGCCAGACTTTATTATTTTGTATTTAAGGTTAGTGAAGTAAAAACAACAACAACTGCGAAAATTTGTTTTGACAGCAACAAATATCCATGGACCTTATTTTTTATCTATTTTTTTGCTAGTTGGTTTTGATATAAACCAACAGGCTATGATCATCCGGCTCAATCAAGATGAATTGTTTGAACGTAGAAAAAAAAATTAGCCCAATGATTGCATCGTGTTTGTGTGTGTGTGAAAAAAACCACAAAATGAGTTTATTTATTTATTTATTATACAAAATCATCATCATTACTGCCACAGAAAGACACGAGCCTCATACCGAAAGAATGAGAGAGAAAAAAAAACAAAAATCAATTTTAATTTATTTCCCATTTAAAAACCAACATTTTGTTTTTGGCTAAACATTTGAAATTGCAAAATACAAACAAACACATAGCCAATGTATGTCAATTTATGGGCCATTTTATTTTCTTTATTTTCATTTTATTTGATTTTGTTGTTATTGTCGATGATGATCTTCTTCATCACTATAGCACATTATTCTTTATCCTCGTTAAATTTATTTGAAAAAAATAAAGCAAAATTTAGTCAGTTAGTCAGCCAGCCAGCGGGTTTTTATTTCTACAACCGAAGAAGAAATTAGAATATTCAATTAGAAAATTTATAACATTCACGAATTTTTATTTTTTCTATTTACTTTCTACACTTGGCATTGATGATGATAATAATGATGATGATGATGATGATCAAGCCCAAGAATGATAAATGTAAATTCCTTTATTCAAAACAAAAAAATCTTTCAACTGTCCATTCATATATTTTTTTTCTTAAAAAAATAAAATATCTCATTCTGAAAAAAGTGTAAATTGCCCAGTCTTGTCAGTAAATTTGGGAAAAATTTTGCTCATTTACAACATAAACCACACTCTAAATAACCAATTGAATGGCCAATATGAAAATTGCTTTATCGAGTTTGTAACTTGTTGTTGTCGTTATGGCTGATGATGATGATGATTGGTATTTTGACTGAAGCTGTCTTTGTTAATTATTATTACAAGTTAAATATATTACATTCCAATGCCAAACCCGGCAATCAATATTTATGAAAGAATTTTTTTCCTACAATTAATATTCGACACGGCGAAATTGGCAATTAGTTTCGTTTTACAACTGCACTGCACTGATGTGTTTTCAAAGTGTGTGTGTGTGTGTGTAGGATTGAGAAATATCATTATATTAGAAGGAAAAAAACAAGAAAAGTCAAAAATAAATGAATTATTACCATATAGTTTGATTAGAGATCATCATGCTATAAACAAATAAATCTTTATTTATTTTTTCTGAAATATTCAGATTGGTGTAAGTAAGTGTAGATTTGAGGCACACATAAATTCAATTTCCGTACAATTTGTTCAATGATTTGATGGTCATCATCATCATCATCATTTATGTTTGGATAAATTGAAAATATTGAAATATAAATTGAAAATCACAGCAGGATTTTCAATGTATTAAATGTACAAATCAAAACAAACAAAAATAACTAGAAGAAAGATTCCTAAACAAAATAAACAAACATTTGAATGAAAGACTATAGATAGGCAATCAATTTCTTATTTAATAATTAATTAACATTGTTATGATTATGATTAATTAATTAATTAATAGAATATATTATCATTATCAGTTTTTTTCACTCATTAAAATGATCGCTGAATAATAATTATCAATTTTTTCATATTTAATTTCAAATAAATTAATAAGTTTTCGTTTTTTTTCACTTCATTCCATCATCATCATCATTATCATCATCTTTACCACATCATAAGTTTTTGTGTATGTGTGTGTTTACAAAGAATATTTGCATCATATTTCTTTATGACAATGATGATGAACAATATCAAAAAAAATGAAAATGAAAATGAAAAAGAGAATAACTTGAATCCAAATTGTGTAAATATTTGTCTTTTATTATCCCATTGATAATAAGTTTATGTTTTAAGTGTTTGAATTTCGGATTCTGTTTAGTTGAATTTTCCTTTCCCTTTCAACAGCAACAACAACAACAAAAAAGGTTAGAATTTTATCCTAGAAAAATTATTTTTGAAAAGATGAGAAAATTTTTTTTTGAGAAACAAGATATAACAATCATGATGATGATAAAAAGCAAAATTTGAAGTATTATTATTTTTTTCATTGAGAGGATCGAAAAGTAAGAATTATATACCATCTGTTTTTGTTTTTTTTCGGGTTCGTTATTTGTATACATTATGATTATGGATATAAGATGATGATGATGGCTAAAAATGGGAGGAAAAATCGTTTATGTGAAAAAAAAAGAAAATAATAAATGTTGACAATATTTTATACATTATAATATTGTTATATAATGGATGAAATGACAAAAGAATAGCAGAAGAATGATATTGTGGATACCTAAATAAAAACATTCAATAACGTGTGTAATGATTGAATTGTTCAAATATATGGGATATGCGTTTGTTTGAGCGTGTGTGTGTGCATTAGGATTATTCTGTGTGAATGATATAATAAATGTCCGTTATGGATTTTTATTTTTGCTCATTCCAGTATCATTATTGTTATATTTGATAATGAATTTTTCTCCTCCTTGATCTTTATATTTTCCCATTTCAATCTATTAGTTGAAATGAATGTTTTCCTTTGATAATTATCATTATTCATAAGGTTAATTTAAATAGTGATGATAATAATACCAAAAAAAATGATGATCAATAATGATTTTTTTTCTTGATTATCAAGCAATTTAGAATACTTGATTGTTTTGATTATTGTCTCTTGTATATTCAAACTCAATGATGATACAGTGAAGCGCGCGCATATTGATGCATCATCACAATCATTACCATCATCATCATCATCAATATGATCATCGCCACCACAATCATCATCATCATCATCATCAACACATAATCAAGAAAAAAAAGAAAGAAATTGTGATAGTGTAAAGTGGATGATTTGTATGTATCAATTTGTGTGTATGTGTGTTTGTATACAATTAGACAAAATGTTGAATCAAATGAACAGCGATTTTTTTCCCTAAAACTTAATCATTTAATGAGAGAGAAATATTTTCACCAAAAGTAACAAATTACATAGATGTATACATTACTGGGATATCCATTATATCCACTCCTACTTGATAACAATCTTCCAATCATTAAACAATTTGATTTATACAGAAAAATGTTGATAAAGGTGGAGCCTAATACACAATCACCAAATTAAAGTATATCTGAAGGGTATTATCGATTTGTAACTATTTAACACAAATGATAAGTGAATAGACCACGCCATATTTTAAAACATTCAATGTTATAATGGGCAGGGTTGTAATAGATTCTTCTTTTTTTTTTGGTTTGTTTGCAGTTTTTCTTCACAATGTATGAGAAAAAAATGATGCATATACAAGATTAATTCAAGTTATTTTTTCTCTCTTTTTCTCTCATTGAAAGTCGTTTCTCTTTCTTCACCATTTTTCTATCCCTTTTTCTTGTTGTTCTCTCGAACTTCAATTTGTTTAGTTTAAATCTTTCGGGCATACCGGACGAATCATTCAGTGTTGTTGATTTAGCCATTACAGTAGCACCAAAAAAGAAGAAGAAAATATTACATCTTTTGTTCTTATTTTTGTTTGGATTGTCTTATTCAATTTGTTTGTGCGCATACACATCGTATCCACATCATCATCATTGCAAGCATGTGCGTGCATTAATGTACAGAGACGTCATGATAATCATTATTTATAATTGCAATTGATTAATGTAATAATCATTATTAACCATTTGAATATGATAATATTGATGTCACTTGTTTTCAATATTATTGTATTTTTCTATTTATATTGTTTAACTTTTAATTGATCTTTTGATGCACATTGAATGATTGATTTTTGTGAGAATATGTGAGAAATTCACGATTCTTGTTTATATGTTAAATGTGTTTATGTGGACGTAATCATATCATTTTTGTTTTAGTTTATATTTAATTATCATTGACAAGAAATTATAATCATCATTCATTTAGAATTTTATTAATTTGTGTTTTCCTCAAGAATAATTGTGAATGATGAAATGATGCCTTTGGCACCACAGCTATCCGTACCACATTTGAGACAATTATCATCAACATCACCAAAAATTCGTAGCAGTAATCATTTAAATAATAACAATCAAACAACAAAAACAACAAAAATGATGAAAGCTTCGAAACCGAAGCTTTCATTTAGCATCGATGCTATTGTTGGTAAAAGGAAAACATTGGATAATCATTCATCAGCAGCTATAACAGCTATTACAACACAAGATGATGAATCATCGAATGATACTATTAATAATGATACATCATCATCAACAATGTCCGATCTATTAACATCATCATCAGCGTTTGAAAAAAAATCTTTAAAACGTCGTTTAAGTGAAACATTTTCTACCGCTGCAGCAGCTAATGACGATATGAATAATGACCGTCATTCGATTAGCCCAAATTCAATTGGCCAAGATCATCAACATCGACGATTTTCACCAAACAATATTGCCGGTGGACGGCAATCAATTTCACCACCATTATCCAATGGTACATCGACAACAATGCCACATGATATTGGATCGCCTGGTAGAAGTCTTTCACCATTATCATTAGTAACTAATCATAATCAATCATTGATTACAAATACTCAACAATCAGCAAACTCATTGACGAATATGGCGCAATTTTTAGCCGCTGCACATAATAATCGTCAATCATTGTTGACGGGATCCACGACTGGATTAATAATACCATCCGTATCAACACCACCGCCATCATCAACTACACCTAGCCATCATTCATCATCATCAGCAATGTCACCTGGGCGTTCATCATTACCTGTTTCATCCGCCGCATCAACAACATCATCATCATCATCAACAACTACTATGACCACACAACAGCCACAAATATCAACAATTGGACATCCAAATCACCCGATGATGGTAGCAGCGGCTGCAGCCGCTGCTGCAGCTGCCCATTCACAACTTCCTTCATCGGCAACAGGAGCAACGACAGCATCATCACCTCAAACAGCATTACCATCCGATTATCAACATGCAGCAGCATTCTATCCATGGTTTCTTCGTGCGAATCCATTTGCTGGCCGTTTTCCTGGTAAGTTTTTCTCATTAACATTCAGGGATGTTTGAAAGAAAAGAAGGAAAGAAATACTTTAGAGAAGGGAGAAAAAAGACCTCAATCACAATAATCATGATAATAGATTTGATTATAAATTATGATCAATCAATGATTAAGATAAGACAGTGATTCTCAACCTTTTTTTTGTCGCGGCACAATTTTAGAATTTTTAAATATATAACAGTTGCATTTTCAGAATTTCGCGGCACACCAAAGTGCCGCGGCACACTGGTTGAGAATCACTGAGATAAGATGATCACAAAAAAAGTCGTACACATACACACGATTCATCATATCCAAAAAAAAATGATCGAATTTGATTTGTTCGAATTTAAATATTTTTTATCCTTCACACTTTTCAATTTTATCTTTATCTTTTTTTCCGAAGACAGGAAAATAAAAAAGAAGAAAATATAAATTGATTTTATTGATAATGATCTGAACATTAATCGACCATCATTTTTTTTATGTGGTTATTAGTTTTTTTTAATTTTTATGAGCTAAAGAGCGAGAAATAATAAAATTCATTTGATTATCCAAAGTTGTTTGAAAACGAATGCAATCTATCAATGAAAAAAAGAGAGATAACTAAAACGATGTCAATGAAGAAGACAAAAAAAATCAGCAAGTAATTATCCACATATAATTGAAGCATGGCATTTCATGATGATGATGATGATGATATAGCCCATGGTGTTTATAAAGATTATATGATTATGAACATCATCATCATTATACTTTGACAGTAAAATTATGGAGTGTTGATTCAATGTGTGTGTTTGTTTGTATGTTTTTGTGATAATCATCATATTCATCATATATTCAGGCAGCAACAACAACAACAACAAAATAAACTAATCTCCAGATAGGATTGATCATCATCATCATCATATAATAAATTATAATTATCAACAAAAAAAACCAAATACTAGCCATATGTGTCGATTTTATTTTTTATTTTTGATGTAAATGTTGTTCCAGAGATCATCATACAAATCAGATTTCCAAATAAAATCGTTTTAGATTTTTAATTGCAGATATGGCAAATTTTTTTTCATGCGATTAATGTCGATGAAAATAAAGCCCTTTTTCTGGTGCCGATTTTGTTTTTTTTTTTTTTTTTTAAAAAAAAAATCGATTTTTAAAAGATTTTTATCATTAAATTAAAACAAAAATCATTTTTTNGAGATCATCATACAAATCAGATTTCCAAATAAAATCGTTTTAGATTTTTAATTGCAGATATGGCAAATTTTTTTCATGCGATTAATGTCGATGAAAATAAAGCCCTTTTTCTGGGGGCCGATTTTGTTTTTTTTTTTTTTTGAAAAAAAATATCGATTTATAAATGATTATCATCATGAAATTAAAACAAACATCATTTTTTAATGAAAGCCATATATGAACATGATTTTCTGGCAGAAAAATCAATTGACAAATTTCAATCAAATAAGAGAAATCGAATATAAGTGAAAAAAAAATTAATGGCAATTTAGATAAGATTAGTGTGTGATTTTGTTCTACTCTATGGCCAGGCGGTTTGCTTTGTTCTAAGATTTTTGTATGCTGAATTTTTTTCAAATTTTGGTTTTTTTGGCCATTTTAAATCTGCCACTGTTGTGATAAATATATTGAAAAGTAAAAAAAAGACAAGCCGACATGATTTTGTTGTTGTTGCTGTTTGGCCCGAATTTTTCTTATGCGATGATATTATGTGGGTGTGTGGGATGCTTATTTTTAGTGTGTATTTTTCTATATGGTAATCAATTTTTGTGAGATTTATGATTAGATTTGATTTTTTTAAATTTTTCTGGTTGTTCATCGATTTTAATATATTTTTTTTAATCTTTTTGTTCTGATTACTGTTAATCATCGTTATCATCATTTATAGGAATGCCATTCGATACACCATTAGGATCATTTTTGCTACCTCCATTTCGAAAACCAAAACGTATTCGTACAGCATTTAGCCCCGGACAATTATTGAAATTAGAACAGGCATTTGAAAAGAATCATTATGTTGTCGGTAATGAACGTAAACAATTAGCTAATCATCTTGGTCTCAGTGAAACACAAGTAAAAGTTTGGTTTCAAAATCGTCGTACAAAACATAAACGCCAAAAACAAGAGGATGAAGAATCAGGGTCAAACGGTGGTAATGGCGGTGGAAATACCAATGGTGATAATAAAAACGGTTCAATGCAGAGAGATTTTAGTACCGATGATGAAGAAGAAATTGATCTTGAAGATGAAGAATGTGGTAGTGGTGATGATCAAGATGATGGACATATTAATCAAAATCATCATCTTCATCATCATGGTTCAAATTCACATCATCATCATTTACATAATGTTAGCGGATCAGCAGCGGCAGCTGCAGCTGCTGCCGCAGCAGCAGCCGCACAACAACATGCATTGAAATTTGCCAATATGCATCATCTTTGGTACCAATCAGCTATGGGTTTAATGGCAGCAGGTGGTGCTAATGGACAGGATAATGCTGGTCATCATCCACCAGTTACATCTTCTGGTTCAAATTGAATATAAATTCAAAATGTAAATAAAAATCAAATCATTGATTTCATTCAATTCACATGATCTTATCTAAATTTAGAGAAACAATAAATCAATCAAATTTTATGAAAAAAAAACTGTTCTTTATTACAAAAATTCATAAACTTTCCAAATGAATAGAAAATTTATGTTGTAAATACGAATATATAATTTAATGGAATTTTGTTTTAAAATTATCAACGAAACACTTACATAAATAGTCATTCTTTGAAAAAATTGATAGATTTTTTTCTCTTTTCCCATCAAAAAAAATCATTATTATTAAATGCTTAATAAATATTATAATGGCCAATTTGATATTTGATGAAAAAACTTTGATCATGAACAAAAAATTGTCATTAATTATTATTGTAAATAAATGAATAAAGAAAATTGATTATGATAACCTGTTTTTTGCATCTTTATTTAATTGAATGAAAAATGATTATTATCGAATTATTTCAAATCAAGATGTTTGATTTTTTCGATCAATTTTTATTACATTGAATGATAATCCTTATTAACCCAATTTCCTTTTTTTTACTTTGCCTGTCAAAAATATAATCAATTTTTACTATTACTTAATTTACATCACATTTAATGAGGATTATTAAGGAATTTATTTCGTTTTTTTTACTTTTTTATTTTTAAAGGAGAAAATTTTTCAGCAAATTGATTTATTGGATTTTGATTATTTTCTCTCTTCATCGGATTTCAATAATGTTTTTTTTTCTTTGGTTCTATACTTGTCATCATTATCAAATTTTTCAATCATAATTATTTTAAAAAATTGAATTTCATATACATAAATTAAGCTTTAAAAAAATCACATTAAATTCATCATTAATTATTAATTTAACAAAAAATTTCCATATAATGATAATAAAATGTTTGGTTAAATGGTGTCAAATTGGTTGTTATTGCATTCAAATAATAATGATGATGATGACGAGATAGTGGAGAAAAAACTTCATTATTTTTTTGTTGGTCTAAATTTCTTTTGTACAAATTCTCATTTAATATCCGACTTAGTTTTGAATGAAGCAAACAGGTGTGTCTTCATCACATCAATCCAAACAACAACAATAATAATGAACTTTCGAAAACAATCAAAATAATCAACTGAAATAAAAAACCCTATAAAGTTTGATAATCATTAATGAAAACAAAACAAAAAATTCTCTCATTTGATGTTCATCAATGATTTGCTCTTGATAATTGAAATGAACTGTTACAGTTACTATTGTTGTTTTTGTTTTTATAATTTTTAATGATCATTATTTTTACACCTTTATATTCTGATTTGGTCAATATAAATGTTTATGTTTGTGTGTGTGTGTGTGTGTGAATGAGATGATTTTTTTTTATTTATTTATTCACCACTAATCTTTGCACAATGATCATCATCAACTTTGGTAATCAGCATTTTTTTTCTTAAATAAACATCATTCAGAAATAAAATTAGAGAGAAAAGAGGAAAAAAATTCAATGAAAGATCATGATTATGATGATGTGGTAATATAATAAAATAAAACTGACTTCACTTACACACAGTAAACATACAATCTCACACAGTAAAAGATATTATCTGTTGTTTGACCAATAAGTCTTTAACATTTATCAAATCGAATTATTTGTGTATTAAAGTTGTGTTTATGTGTGTATGCTGGACACGTTCCAAACATTTACAGGTAACGATGTGAAAAAAATGGTCATAAATTAGATGATTATTTTTTTTGTTGAATGATTGAGAATTTCAAACGAATAGGGTTGTTGTTTATTGTTTTAATCAAATAGACTATTTTATTGTGTAAAAAGAAAAAAAACAGCTTCCCAATTAATAATGATGAAGAAAAAGAACGTTTCCGAATTTTATTAAGAATCCGATTAAAAATTTTTTTGTTTCTAGTCGAATTCTGATTATCGCAGTCATCGTGATTTTTAATGTAAAATGTGTAAGTGGAAAAGAAAATCTTGTAGATGATAAAAATCTACAACAAAAAAACAATGCTAATATCAATTAATTACTGGATTATCGATGGTGTATTCATAATTTTTTGTTGTGTTTTTGTTATTTGTCCATTTTTTTACACTTTTTACATTGATGATTGGTAGTGTGTTATTCGTGTTGATCATATTTGAATTCTATGGCCGCCGGTTTATAATCTTTTGCATTGAATTCATTCATCTAAGGTCAGAATTTTGTGATTTTGTGATAGTGAGTAGCCGGGTTGTTGATCGGTTGGTTTGCTGGCTGGTTGTTTGAAACCACTCCTTAAAAATTGAAAATTTCACAGCATGAATTATGGCAAAATATTTACGCTGACAGATTTGTAGTTTGTTTTAAAAAAAATATTTATTTGCTTCTCGTGAACCAAAAAAAAAATGATCATCAATGATTTGACTTTCTAAATCGATTTGAATTGATTGATAATTTGATTTGAATTTTTCTCTCCTTTTTTTCATCATATCAATGATACTTTGTCTATTAATAAAAATATTTGTATAATTAACCGGATATCGTTGGATATAGTAGAATAAATCAATAGATTTAATGCTAATTAATCCGAAAGTCAAATATGCATCACAGGCAACAAAAAAAAACAAAAAAAAACAAAAATATTATTGCAAATCAAATCGGATAATCGTTGTTGGTCATTGATTTGAATCGGATACATTGATACCTTGTTTTTTTTTGAGTATACTCGTAATTTGTTGTTGTTGTTGGTTTTTTAATGGTCATTCATAAAAATATTTTCTAATCTTAGTTTTTATATTTATGTTTGTTCATTATGATGATAATCATCATCATCATCATCATATCATCATCACTTGTCATATAAACAAACTATGAATGAATTTTTTATTTTATTTTAAACATTCATTCGGCGTATACATGATGGTCAAGATGATGATTAGAAAGAGAAAAAAATCATGGTTACTACAACTACATTACTACTGATAATGATAATGATGATGATGATCATTTATTCATGATGTTGATCTTTTTTTCCGGCCAATCTCTCTCTTTTTTTGACTTTGTACTACAGGTTGAATATGATTATCATGTTATGATGGCAAAGAAATGAGGAGAAATTTTTTTGATGAATTCTTTGGCTGTTGTAAATAAAGATGTTGTTGTTCAATCTGTCTGATTGTCAGTTTATCATGTGGATTTTTTTTCGCTCTTTTGGCAGTTGAAATATTGGCATATTATTGACATTTTTTCTCTGAAGTTCTTTTGGAAATCCTGACGATGAAATATAACAAGTGAACAAACAAACAAATAGGCAAAAAAACAACAATAAGATTAAGATCAATATTCATCATTAAAAATTATTGATGTGATGTATGCGATACGGATAATATGCTAATAAAGATGATGATGTTATCGTGTTATTTTAGATATTAAGATGTATCCAGATGACAGATGTATTCTTTTCATTATAATATGATAGGTTATGGAATTTTCATCTAAATCTTAAATCAAGACATGCACACAAACAAAAACACACCTATGTCCTATTGTCCTGAACAATTTGAAATTTGATTATGATTAGATCATCATCATCATTATGTGTGATATGTAATGTTTTGAGAAAAAAAGTTCAACAAAAAAAACAAGACAAAACAAAGATTCAAGAATATAATCGTGACATTTCACATACATTTATAAATTTTAATCATCATCTTTTTATTATCGTTATTTATTTATTTGACCAAAAAAAAAAAATAGAAACAAAAATAATCAAAATGGATGAACATAGAAGAAAATTTTGATTGGCCTAATTGGATCACATATATTTTGAATAGTTGAATGAAATGTTATCATCATTAATTCAAATGTGGCAGAAATAATTGAAAGCAAAACACTAACAGATAGTTGAATATCCAACCCTATTTAATATGATTGATTGATGTTACAGCCATAATAATGATATTTCTATCTGTGTTATCCATTCTCTTCTATTTAAATATTTCGTTTTATTAATCGATATAAATTAGAATTTAAATTATCCATGTTTTGAATCATCATTTTTGGTCTTGGTTTTGAATAGAATAACAAAATTATCGAAACGATAATAAATGAAAAAAAAAATTGTGGCTATTCAAATTTGTTGGGTAAATATTAGACAGATTGACATATTTGGGTGCCATTTCTGATATTTTTTTCATGTAATATTTGAACGCCCAAAAATAATTTTTTTCACTGTTTCTTTTTTGTTTGTTTGCTTGCTTGAATGTGTAGAAAATTCCATTTGTCTTAGCTTGTGTCAAGATTATGATGATCAACCATAATAACTTTTTGTGTGATTGGTTTCTGTTACAAATTTTCCAATTTAAATTAACAAAATAAATGGACATTTGACACAACAAGGAAAAAAAATAAACAACAACATAACAAATAAATAAGAGGAAAAAATGAACAATAATTAACATGAACATCTTTTTTAGTTTGTTGGTTTTTTTTCTGGGCTAAAGGAAAACCTCAGTCCATAATAAAATATGCAAATTTTTCTCTTACTTGGCTCAACAATGATTGTTTTTTTCTTCTTCTACAAAAAAAAGATTCATCTAGAATCATTGAATAAATGACATTTTTTTTCTTCACTGTAGTTTTCGCCTCTTTTCTTCATCATCGGTTTAACTATCTACATTTATTTATTTATTGTTTTAATTGAATTTGAATACATCGTCATGATGATGATTATTTACATTTTGTCTAGTCAACGAAAAAAATAATAATAACAATTTTCATCCAGAATGTAGCCATTGTACAAAGCCAACATTTATCTATCATCACTAACGATGATGATTCCTCTTTGTGTTGTTGTTTTTTTTTTGGGCGAACCATTATCATTGTAATTATCATTATGTGAATATATGATTATTATATTATGAAATTAACGAACAAACAAACAAAAAAATAATAATGAATCAAAGGTGAATAGTATCCGCACCCTGTGGTGGATATTCATACGAAGAAGAAAAAAAAAGAGTAGATGTTATTAACATTATTGTTCAGTTACTAATTTTATTTATTTTAGATACAATAAATGGTTATGGTGGAGATTATTTGTATAACAATTATAATTATTGATGATGAACAACAACAATGA